GCGGCGCGAGGCGGCGCTCTGGCGCGTGCGCGACGTGCAGCTGTGGAACCCGGCGGGCGCGGTGCGGCGGCTGGTGGAGGCGTGCGGGGTCCCGTGCGAGTGGGTGGCGCGCGAGGAGGACAGCATCGCGAGCCTGATGTGGTACGGCGAGGGGGGCGCGGGGAGGGCGGTGGAGTGGGTTGCCAACGACAAGTTTGCGTGGTGCTAGGTGCTAGGTGCTTTGGCTTGTTATGGGGATCGAATGGGAATCTTTCTGATGTACACGGGAGTAAGTACTCGACATGTGACCGTCAAGTCACGACAGCCAACCTAGTCTTGGTACTGGGAATGGTGGTTTCCACATATTCTACCTGGATGGCTAGGAATGTCATTATACACGCTTGCAAAACTATAGCACAACATAAGAAATGCATGTCCCTTTCCCCCCCCGCTCAGAACCCACCCGTCCCCTTGACCCTCTTCAACGCCGCAACAATCCCTTTACCCCAGCTGAACCGCCCCGGATCGACCCCGGTCGCCTCGTCGGCCTCGTTCCCATCCTTGTCCCTCCAGACGCCGTCGACAGGGTCCAGGGCGCCGTACAGGTGCGTGTTCTGGTTCCGGCGCAGCCCCTCGGCCCAGTCGCGCGCCACGTGCGGCGGCAGGTCCAGCAGCGCGTTGACCTCCTGGCTGTGCATCCAGCTCTGGGTGTCCTGGTTGCCGCTGCCGACGACGGCGACGCGGCCGTCGGCCACGAGCAGCTTGATGTGGCACGACCGCAGCCGCCGGCTCTGCGTGAGCGGCGCGGCGCAGTCGCGGCCCACGTACCAGTGGTAGTGCAGGCGCTCGCGGCCAGTGGGTGAGAGGGCGGTATGTAGGCGGTGGGCGATCATTTCGTTGTGGCCGCCCTGCTTTGGGAGGAGTTCGCCCTGTTTTTTTGGGTCCTTGTTAAAAAACAAAAAACAAAAAAAAAGCCAAAGAGAATAAAGAAGCAGAGATAAAAGTCCAAACTTACAATGTCGTTGTACCCGAGACATATGAAACAGGTCACGTCCACCCCGCGCTCGCACGCCTCCACGATGGCCGGCAGCAGCGGCTCCGCGTTGAGCGTCGGGCTCTGGATGAAGACGCTCTCGGTGGCGTACCGCAGCGCCGCCAGCCACGCCGCGTTCTGCGGGTTCGAGTCGGAGCTGTTGTCGGGCGGGCCGTGCGGAGGGCGGCACACGAGCGCCATGGGGAACGGGTCGTGCGGCGCGTGGGCGAGCAGCGGCGTCATGTCATCCTCGGGCGCCGCCACGGCGGTGGTAGAGGCCGCGGCCTGTCTCGGCTCGGGGCGGAAGTCGGGGTTCGTCGTGTGGTTGAGGTGGCGCGTCACAGCGTCCAGGTGTGTTTTTGATGGGTTTGAGGGTGAGGGTGTGAGGAGCGCCTGCACGCGCCGGGCCTCGGCGTCGATGGTGGCGTCATAGACTGGGCCGCCGGCGTCGGCTTCGCCGCTAGGGGGAGTTGGCGGCGCTGCGGGTTCAGACATGGTTTCAGGGCCTGCCCGGAAGCAAGGGGCGTCTTCGGAAGCAGCAGGACTGTCGCGCGTCGGCAGCGGCGGGCTCAGCGCCTTGCTCCACGACAGCAGCGCCATGTCGTAGACGGCGTCGACGACGGGGCCCTCGAGGTGCACCAGCATCTCGAGGTTGTCGTTGTCCTGGATGTTGTTGCTCTGCAGCACGGCGGCGCGCCGGTCGACGATCATGAACTTGCTGTGGAAGGTGCCGAGGATGGGGCTGTGGTAGTTCATGACCTCGAGCTCCAGGTTCGGCACCTCGGCCGCGGCGGGCAGCCCGACCGCGCCGCCGGCGTAGTCCTTTTCCGATACGACGGCGTGCGGATCGACGAGCTGGCGGATGGAGCCGCGGTCGTACATAATCTTGACCACCACCTTTTCGCCCGAGCCGCGCTCGCCGACGCGTCGGGACAGCTCCTTGAGGGCGTCGGTGATGACCTTGGACGCCACGCTGTTTTGCCAAAAGTTGGTGGCCAGGAAGACCTCGCGGTTGGCGGCGACGATGAGGTTTGCCATGTGCCGAACGATGTCGGGGATTCTGAGACACAAAAAGACGTGGTCAACAAAAAAGGGGGCTACCTCCTGCGTTGCTCGGCCAGACGCACGTTGAGATTATCGTCAGGGGGAGAACGCCACTGCTGCCCATCAAAGACGGGCTGACCATTCCTCTTTCCGGATGTCCGTCGATGGACACCAGCGCGTCGTGGTACATCTTGAGGAACAGATCGCTGGGCCTCTGGGAGCCCCAGCGCCCGCACATGGCGGCCCTGTCGAGGCTGTCTGCTGGGAGCGTACCTCCACTGCCCTCGGGCACCGTTGACGTTGATGGCTGTCCTCGGGCTGCACCTTCACTGACACACAGCCTCTTCCACGCCTCCTTGGGGGCCAGGCCAGGTTCCTGTGCCAGGAGGGACGACACGGTCTCGGCCGAGGTGCACATGGCCAGGACTTGGTCGCTGAACGTTTCGTCCCGTAGTGGGGGCGACGGCACCCGGTCCTTGGCGGAGGCCTCATCGGTGTCCTTTGCATGGTTGTTGGGGCGAGAGGGCGCACCACCGCCGCGCGCCAGATGTCCGGGCTCAGCGGACGCGGTGTGCATGTTGGTATCGCGCGGCTTTGACGACAAGTTGGAACCCGAGCGCGGTGTCATGTATGCGTGGTAGGGGAACGTAACAAATGCCTGGTAAAACACGCCGGCAACGGTACGGACGTCGTCGGTGACAGGCATTGTCGGCGTTGCTATCTTCTTGTTGTATTCATTTATTTTATCCAAGCATGTATCGCCTCCAGAATGTCGTAGGGCCTCGTCAGCGGCCCCATGGCCAAGCCTGCCCGTTCTTGTACGGGCGTGTCAACGCTAGCAGGCGGCAAAGCTTTGCGGTTGGTGGGCTCGGCCGATGAGGTCATAACAGGGCGGCCGGCGCCGAAGAGCTAACGCACGCACGCCAAGGAATCAGGTTCGGATCGCCAAGAACAGGGCGGGTGCTAGACCGCAGTGCCGAGCAGCCGGGCCCGACTGGACTTGGGATTTGTTTCCAGGTTTTAGTTTCGTCTGATTGTCATTTGATTTTGGTTGGTTTCTTTTTCTTTTTGACCATCTCCTTCGTTCAAGGGTGGCCCACTCCATGGACACAATAATACTCCCGGTTGAAATGGTCTCCCGAATCCCACACACCTCAACTCCTCGCAATATCAGCCCGCCAGCCGCACAACCCGAGATCCAACCACTTCGGGTTCTCCCCCGCTGACGACCTCGACTGCCGATCCGATCTCCCTGACCGATGTGACCCGCCAATTCGGGCATGGCCGCCACCTCTCTAGAGCCGCGCGTTGGGCAATATCGACATTGCCAGACGGGCCACTGATGAGCGCGGGATAGAATGGCAGGAATCTCGCATTCAGCCGGCCGCATATTATCATGCTTATTTTAATGGTTACACAACATGCTCGATGCTACCGACCCTGCTATCTCCTGGTCAGCAAAGATGGACGCCATATAAAGCAGAACTGTAACCACAACTCCCCCGCAGCTAGCGTGGCGATTGGGCCAAACCACCTGTTGACCTCCCAAGATGCGCGGTCCGAACCTGTGGAAGTGGGCGTGCCTCGCACTTGCCGCCTGTCCCGCGACGGCGGCGCCAACGCCAGGGGGCCACGCCAAGTGCGCAAAAGTGACCAAGCGGATGCCATGGTACGTACAGCCTGGACAGTGGACACTCACCCATGCATGCTAGACGGTTGTCGACAACTAACAAGAACCGACGACAGGCACGCCATGCCCGACGACGGCAAGCGCGCCTACCTGGCCGCCGAGGTGTGCGTCCTCGGCTCCCCGACCAAGCTGACCGCCGTCCCGGGGGCCAAGACGCGGTGGGACGAGCTCGTGGGCCTGCACCAGGTGCACGCGCTGCAGATCCACAGCACGGGCACCTTCCTGCCGTACCACCGCTACTTCCTGCACGCGCACGAGGCCCTGCTGCGCGAGTGCGGGTACGACGGCGGGCTGCCGTACTGGGACGAGACGCGGGACGCGGGCCGCTTCATCGGCTCGCCCGTCTTCCACCCGACCCTCGGCTTCGGCGGCGACGGCAAGGGGGCCCAGAACTGCGTGGCTGACGGGCCCTTTGCAAACGCCACCGTCAGCATCGGCCCGGGGTTTACCTCGCAGCCGCGCTGCGTCAACCGCAAGGTCACGAGCTTCCTGAGCGCGGGCTGCGGCGCCGCCCAGGTGGCGGCGGCCATCAGCCCCGACACGTACGACGACATGTGGGTGCGCGTGTACAACGGGCCGCACCTGACGGGGCATATAGCCCTTGCCATGATGGTGAGTTTGTTTGCGCTTCGTGCTTCATCAGAACTAATAAACAAACTGACACTGACCTCCCCCGCTCGTCTAGAACGGAGACTCCATCACGTCCCCCGGCGACCCACTGTTCATGCTGCACCACGGCTTCGTCGACAAGATGTGGTGGGACTGGCAGGCCAAGAATCTCACGGCCCGCCTGACGGCCATGGGCGGGCCCAATGCCCAGGACCCAAACACCGGCTTCCTCGAGTTCCCGGGAGGCATCGAGGAGGAGTCCAAAATGTGGGGGAAGCCGACGGCCGAGATGCTGGCCGTGACGCCCGACCCCGCGAGGGGCGACCCTGCCAACATCACGACCCTGTCTCACATCATGACGTCGCTCGGCATCATTCCCGACGCGACCGTGGCCGATGTCATGGACATTCAGGGGGGCTATCTGTGCTACGAGTATGTGTGAGGACACACTACGTGTTACATTAGCCTCTGTATCACAGGTCTGTGCCAGGTTGGGAAATTGTTTCTCAGTTATTCCGGTACTATAAAGCCTATAAGGCAGCAGGTACATAGCTCTCAGGACACTAGACAATGCTATCCAAGTCACTGGAGCTACTTTGACTGTTGAAACCAATACCATCAGCAATACCACATCTGCACCGACTCGTGTATGCGCACACCTCTTGCACCGTCTATAGCCAAGAATCAGAGAAAAGGAAGACGAGAACAGCAGAAGCAAAACGTTTACAGCTCGCCCATGCTGTCAACATCGGCAGCCTCGAGCTTGGCAAAGTCGGTCGAGGCCAGCTCATAGACAAAGGCCAGCGTCATGCGGGCGTGCTGCAGCATGTGGTCGAAGCTAAGGTACTTGATCAAGTCCTCAGTCGAGTGAATGTGGTCGTCGGACAGCTCAAACGACGACTCGATGACGAAAGCCGACGGGTAGCCAGCCTTGGACGCCGAAGCGTGGTCGCTGCAGGCGTAGCCGCACTTGGTCTCAACAAAGGGGATGGCGCAGTACTCGACGATGATCTTCTTGATGAATTCCGTCAGGGCCGGGTCGACGTAGTCGACAATGACACCGACGCTCTCGGGCTTGCCGGCGTCGAGGGTGCGCTGGACGAAGCCCGTCATGTCCTGCTGCAGCATGGCCTTGATGTCGCGCTGCTGCTTCTCGTACGACGAGAAGATGGCCTGGCTGCCCAGCAGGCCGCCCTCCTCGGCGCTGTACCAGTGGAACTCGACCGTGTTCTTGAGCTTGCCCTTGGCAAAGTCGTCGCTCTGCAGCAGGACGCGCAGCGCCTCGAGGATGGTGACGGTGCCGCTGCCGTCGTCGTCGGCGCCGGGGGCGGCCAGGATGGAGGGCAGCCACAGGTTGATGCTGTCCTGGTGGGCGCCGACCACGACTGTGGACTTGGACTGACCGGGAATGGTGGCGATGATGGAGTTCTGGCCCCACGAGTGCTTGAAGTGCTCGACGTGGACGCCGTGGGCGTGGGCGCCGGCGTCGGCGATAGTCTTGTTGACCTCGGACAGCAACCACTCGGACGACTGGCGGCCCGTCTCCGACTTGTAGTAGCGCGTGTGGAAGCTGGTCAGCTTCTCGAGGTGCGTCTTCATGTGCGACTTGTCAAGCTTCTCAAGGAGGGGCTTGATGGCGTCCTGCTGGGCGGCCTTCTTGGGGAAGACGGCAGTGCGGCGGGTGCCGAGGGCGCCAAGGTCGGGGGTGTCGGTGATGTCCATGAAGCGCTGGCCATTCTGTTGTTGTCGCGTGTTAGCATCGAGCACCTAGATCTGTTCATCTGTGCATCTGTGCAGGTTTGCTGCATCAAATAACGTACCCGGCGCAGCTCCCACTTCTCGTCCTCAGTCACCCATCTCGTCTCGCCCGGAGCCAGCTCGATGTGGAACTTCTCGGCCTCGGCAACCTCAGGGTGCAGCTGAACATGGTCGGGCTCCGCCTCCTGGACGAAGCGCGCGCTGATGGCCGGCAGCAGCAGCGCGAGGATGGACGTCGACGCTTTCATATTGGGAGAGAAGTAGACAGTGTGCAAACGTAGGTTTATTAATCTGATCTTGTCCCAAAGCTTGTGATGGTTGATGGGATGGGTGGATGGGACGGATGGGGATGATGGAGAAGGCAGGTTGGAGAAGGTTGGCTGGTGGGGGAAACACTGGGGGAAGTACACAGTAAACGGGGAATGGCCAAGCAACGACTCGCGGAGTTGTCGGAGTCGGAGTCAGGCAGGCGTCAATGTGTGACGCCTACAGCTCGACAGCGGGTGGCTCGTGCGCCCTGCAGCCAGCACAGTCTGCCGCCGTCTGCCGCTGTCCGGGACCATCTTTGCCTGATTGGCTGCTTCTCCAACCCACCCAGACACGTCAATCGTCTCCACATGAAGCCATCCGCACAGGCTGGTTTGTTTGGCTGTTCCTTGGAGTTGCAGTCCCTGAGCCCTGTCCGGGCCCAGTCGTCCACCGTCCCCTCATCCCAGTCGTCCCAGCTTGCCCCTCCACCGCCCGCCCGACCAACTATTCCATGGCGCCGTTTAAAAGGCGGGCGCTCCCAGCCCGTCTGCCTCACCCCCGCAGCCCTGGCCCTGCCCGAACCTCACCTCCCTCGCTGAACCCCCCCTCGTGACAACACACACCCCCGGGCCCCCCCCTCCTAGCCCACGTCACGCCCGTCATGGCCAAACCAAGCTCGAGCTCAAGCTCCAAACGGAGCAGCAAGTCGTCGGCGTCGGCGTCGGGCAGCGGCGACGGCGCCGCCGCCCCCGCGGACCGCCAGCCCTTTGAGCTGATCCGCCGCGGCGTCAAGAAGCCGTCGCCCGCCGGCACGGCCCTCTTCATCGCCCTGCGCGCCCTCGACGTGCCGCTGCAGTACCAGCTCGTGTCGGGCGCCTGGTCCGTCCCGCTGCTGGGCCGCCTCGGGCTCGCCGCCGCCCGCCCCGTCGTCACCACGGTCGCCCACACGGGCGTCGCCGCCATCGACCGCCTGCGCCTCAGCCGCCCGGGACTGGTGCTGCTGGTCATGGCGGCCGGCTCGGCCGCCAAGCACGCCCTCTGGGTCGGCTTCATCTCGCTCGAGGAGTTCCGCCCGCCCGCCGCCGCCGTCGTGGCCGGCTTCAACAGCTTCTTCAACAGCGTCAACTCGCTGCTGCTCGTCGCCGCCGTCACCTCCACCTCGGTCTCGGGCCCCTTCGTCCCCGTCAACCACCCCAAGCTCGGCGGCAAGTTCTACGTGCCCGTCCAGCTCGCCGTCGGCCTCGGCCTGTACGTGGTCGGCATGGGCCTCGAGCTGGTCTCGGAGGTGCAGCGCCGCCGCTTCAAGTCCAAGCCCGAGAACAAGGGCCGCATCTGCCGCAAGGGCCTGTGGGGCGTCGCCCGCCACATCAACTACACCGGCTACGCCCTGTGGCGCACCGGCTTCACCCTCGCCGCTGGCGGCTGGATCCCCGGCGCCGTCGCGGCCCTCTTCAACGCCTGGTCCTTTGTCGCCAGGAGCACCCCCGAGCTGGAGGCCTACATGAGCCGCAAGTACCGCGACTCGTGGTCCAAATACAAGAGGGACGTCAAGTGGCTGCTGCTGCCCGGCATCTACTAAGAGCCGAGCCGGCCTGCTCGTCTGCCTACCTAGCCCTCGCCATGATTACACGATTGACGTTGGAAACTCTCACCTCGGACCTTATGCATGGAACTAAAATGGAAGGATTGGTTGTGTGCAGCATGTGCTATATGCACAGAAATCTCTTTTCCAAGCCGCGGCCTGTCTAGCCGCATGGACGGCTCGCCGAACCCCGGCCACGGCCCCGGGTTCATATCCCTCCTGAGCCGACTGTTCCCGGCTCGGGCAGTTGTCAAGTCAAAGGCTACATGGAGATGGATCAAAGAAAGTAAAACAAGAAAATAACATCAATGTTTCAGCTTATCCAGTTCTTCATGCTTGGCAATGCTCAGCCGCATGAGGAATGGTGGTCGTGACGGTAGTGAATCCTACTACAAGGGCTACCTGGGTATACCCAACATCGCCCCCACACATGAGAGCGAACTGCTTCTATTCGCAAGTCTGCTTCTGCCTGCGGGGTCTACTTCTTGATATCCTAGAAACAAACAGGTCCAACATGCCGAATACAGCAAACATCCGAGGGTATTAGAGCGGGCTTGCCAATCGACGACCAAAAAAATGATGCGTCGTAACAATGAACATAGCCATGCTATCCAAAAACAAAAAGAGTGTCGGGTACGTGCCGATCATCATATGTGCAGTGACAAGTCGCAGAATCCAACCCAAGGTAGATGGCCACAACAAACAAGCCAGCCCCCTCACATGGTGTCCTCCATCTGCTTGCTGCGCACCTTGGCCCACGTGTCGCGCTCCTTCTTGCCGCCCTGGCTCTCGAGGCCCATGCCGCGCTCGACCCACTCGCGGCTGCCCATGTGGCTGAGGCGCGAGAGGGCGCGCGCAAAGGCAAAGGCCTCCTCGTCACCCGAGAACAGGCCCGAGGCCGCCTTGAGCCGGTCGATGTTGTGGTCCAGGTCCTCCATCATGTGGCCCATGGCGTCGTCCACCTCGTCGTCGCTCAGCCGCATGTCGTCTTGCTGCTGCTGCTTCCTGGCTGCCGCCATGGACTCGCGCATCTCCTGGCGCGACACAAACAGCTCCGAGAGCGGCACGGCCGTCGTCAGCACCAGCTTGGCATGACCCTCGTACACGGCGTCGATAAAGGTGATGAAGCGACGGGCGAGGTCGCGCTGGCGGTACGTCATGCCCGGCACGTCGGTCACGACAAAGGCGTCGTAGTTGCGCACGAGCTCGAGGTAGTCGGCGGCGCCCGTCGGGCGGCCGATGAGCTCGTCAAACGTGAACCAGGCGGTGCGGCCGCTGACGCGGGGCACGTAGATCTTGCGGCCCCAAACCGTGTGCATCTCCGGGTGCGGCTCGGGCTCGTCCGGGTCGCCCAGGAACCGGAACCACTTCTCGGCGTGCGAGTGCGCGTGGTTGTCGAGCGGCGAGTGGTAGACCCCCGACGGCGGGCGCGGGATCTTGCGGTAGTCGGTCGACGAGTCGAGGTTGATGACGTGCAGGCGATTCTTGAGCAGCTGGATGGCGGGGATGAAGGACTGGCGCTGCACGCCGTTCTTGTACAGCTCGTCTGGGTGGCGGTTCGACGTGGTGACCAGCACGACGCCGTGCGACATGAGCGACTCCAGCAGGCGGCGCAGGATCATGGCGTCGGCCACGTCGGTGCACTGGAACTCGTCGAAGCACAGCACGTTGCCCTGCTGCGCGATGTCGGCCGCCACAAACGGCACAGCGTCCATGTCGTTGCCGTGCTGCATCTTCATCTTGTGTAGCCTTTTGTGCACGTCCTGCATGAAGTTGTGGAAGTGGATGCGCGTCCTTGACCTCACGTTGGACGGCAACGTATCATAAAAGAGGTCCATGAGCATTGTCTTGCCCGAGCCCACGTCGCCGTACAGGTACAACCCGCGTGGTAGGTTGGCAGGTATGTCTTTAAGGGCCGCCCTCTTGCCGCCCCCACCCCTAAAGAGACTGCCAAAGAGCGACTTCTTGGGCAGTTCCAGAAGCGACTTGAGGGATGGGTGCTCGACTGGTCTGGCGCGATAGTGGCACAGTTCGTCGTGAAGGTGCTGGAGGCTGCCTATTATGCCTGCACGAGAGAAAGGTCAGGGTCTGCGGAGGGACAGGGGAAGGCAGCGAGCAGGCACAGGAAACGCTAGGGAGAAGCCCAACCACAAACCTCGTTGGTGCTCATCGTCGCGCAGCAGCCCCTCGCCGACGCGCCGGTCGTACTCCTGCATTGGGCCTATGTCATCCATGTCGACTGTGTGCCGAGGGGCTATTAGTGAGGGGATCCAAGAGGGATGTGAGAGCCGGCGCAAGCGCGAAGTCGCATGACAAACACACCGTTTTCGACCGCAGACGCGGCTGCGCTACTGCTCGCTTGTCTCCTCTGTCCCGCATAGAAGACAGCGGGAAGAATCAGGCGCGAGGGAGAGCACCTGGCAGTGTGGAGAAGGGACTTGGGCGGCGGGCTTTTCGGGGCCGCGTTGGGTCTCGACGCGGGCGCAAGTGGCACAGGTCGTGTGGACCAGGTGCTAGCGGGCCAGGAAGCGGCGGCAGGAGCGGCGGCGGCGGCGGCCGTCCGGAAACACCTCGTGCAGAGCATGCGACGGCGCTGGCGCTGGAGGGGAGGGCGGCAACTTAGGCTGGGCGCGAAGGGAATCCGCAGGACTCGCAGCGGGACCGCAGCAGCGGCTACTGGCGGATGGCGGCCCATTGCGCGTGGTGAGAGTGAGCCGAAATGAGGGTGAGCAGAAAAGAAGGACGGGCGGCAAGGTTCGTAGACTCCAACATAGCAGGGCGATCTTGTCTCTCCAGGAAGAATTGGGGGTACTGTGTAGGTATGTTGGCAGCCAGCACTTGCGGCGCAGGCAGAATAACGAGCCAGGGCGGGATGACGAAGGGCCGTGGACACCACCCCGAACACCCACCTGTGCGACAATGCCGAGGCTTTCCCGACTTTATGGAGGTGTGGCAAGCCGGTGGATTGAGCACTTCCGCTCGGGGCAAGGGAACGGGAGTCAATGTGAGCACGCTAGCAATCGCCATGACGACATCAATTGAGACAAGGCGAGAAGCACAAACGTGGACAAGATTGTTGTAATTTGCGCTGGCAAACCGCGCGCTAATATTTGTTCTAGTAACGACACTAACACCAACGCCCCAAAACAGAGGGCAACTATTAAAATTAACCAGCCAGCCCGACCCAAACGCCGCGTTTTCCATGCAGTCACTAGCCTTATTTTTCGTGTTTTCCGAGGGGTCTGACGCACTTCCTTTGGCCCGAACACTGCCCTAATTGGGCACAGGACACCGACTACTCGACTCCTTCCTTGGCGCTCCCACTGAGCCATTTACAGCATCAGCGCCGCCGCCAGCACGGCGCCTAGCATACCGCCGACCGGGGCCTGGAAGCTCGCGCCGGCGCCGGGCCTCGAGGTGGTCTGCGGGGTGCTGCCAGTGGGGGTGGTCGTCGCGCCGGCGCCGGCGCCGGAGGAGGAGGAGGTGGGGTTGCTGCCGTCGGTGGGCGCCGGCGTACTGGCCGTGGTCGAGACGGTGCCGTTGCCGGCCCTCGCGCTGAGGACGCCGCCGCGGGGCCCGCCGGGCGGCGAGACGGCGGTGAGGTTACCGCGGATGCCGGCGCCGTAGCCCTCGATGCTCTGCGGCGCCGGGCCCGGGTTGACCACGGCGTACATGCCCCTGGCGCAGTGAAAGCCCGTGTTCTGCGAGCAGTAGAAGACGAGGGGCTTGGTGTCGTTGACCGTGACCTGGAACACGTTGGGGCCCTCCTGGCCGGCCTGGATGGGGCCCGTGAAGCCCGAGAAGATGGCGGACTCCCGCGCCGGCCGGCAAGGGGCGTCGAAGCGGCCCTCGACGACGCTGTGGTTGACGGCGAAGAAGTGGAACTCGAGGACGTCGCCTTTGGCCGCCTCGGTTACGTTGGGGCTGAAGCGGAGGCCGTTCTTGCCGACGTCGATCTGGATAGTCTTGGCTGCCGCCTGCAGAGCCAGCGTCGAGGCGACGAGGACCTTGCACAGAGAGAACATGTTTGCGTGCTGGTTTTGTTGTGTGGAGAGATGTGTTCTGAAAAGTGCAGTTATTGCCCAACAGGGATATTTGAGTGGCTTGTTTGTTATTACTGCAAGTAAGGCTGTTGCTGAGTGATGATGTCCAGCTCACAACAGTCAGACAAGGCGGAAACAGTCGCCTTTATATCCCCGCCGCTGCTTCTCTTCCTCCACACCACGACTGCCGAAGTCCGAGATGATACTGGGGTCGGCTACCGTTCCATACCAGTTGTGGCTGCAGAGCCCCCATCGTGAGGAGGCGTGGTCGGGTAGCGCAGGCTCCGGTGCAGCCCCAAAATAGGACAAAAAGTTTGGCGGTTCAGCGTTTGCTCGTTAGCCACCACGTGCTGCAGGGGTCTCATAACCCCTGGCCACAGCCCCCAAGGTAGCCGCAAACAGGGTTCGACTTGCGGCGTGGGGTGGCAAGGATACTTTCGCATTCCCCATGTTTGGAGCTACCCTATAATGTTGATGGGGATGCACTAGCGATTGGCATTCCACGGCTAGCTCCACTTCTCGTAAAGCTTAGCCAGTGATAGGCACATGCTATATCTTTGAGCTGGCGCGCAATGAATAATGCCAGGCTCCCTAGAGGTAATCGCGAAGGGAATTTTTGCCGGTCAGGAATGTTTGGAGCTCTTCTTGGAGGGAGACAGATGATGCAGCGATCAGCGTCAGATTGGAATGTGCACAAGTATTGGTGGCGCTAATGTCAGCCACACCGCGCAACCACTTTCTGCTATTTCGAGCTCTCTAAGCGCCCGCCGACCGGCTGTCTGGTGCCCGAGGCGACTCCGCCACGCCCCATTCTGGGCCAGGCAGCCAGCCGCGCGCCGCAGTCGTCAGCTCACCTCACGCGCTAAAATAGCGCCCCTTAATACCAATTTGGGGTGCACTGTCATGTGCTTGCATATTTTGTTGACGTCTGGCCGGTTGCAACTCCATCCCAATGGAGTAGGTTTTTCATCTGTGGAATCTATCGAATCGTCAAGCCCCGCAAGTGCGCAACCGACGACTGTCGCATCTTCGGCTGTCGTAAAAATCGCCGCTGACGGGCTCATATCATTGGTCATCTCGCACCTACCCGCTCTTTTGGTCTAGGGGCCGTTGGAGCTGACGCTGACATGTTCCTGCTTGATTTGTTTCTCCTCTCGCACTCAAGCCTCGGGTCTCGCTCTCTTCATCCTACGGCTGTTGAACTACCGCATACACAGTAGATGCGAGCGATCCTGATTTGTCACCTGCCACTCGCTTCTCAGCTCACTTCCTTCTCAGCCCCTACTCGTCCTCCTTTACCCTTACCGCACCGCCAGGCCCGCCACCTCCTCTTGACCTCACCGTATACTCGGTCCGACGCCCATCCCGGCTGCTTCTTATTTGGACCACTCTCGGTGGGGAGCGTGGGGCTGTGGCCTGCCTCGCCTGAGAGTTCCTGTCCCTCCACTCGGACACGATGCTGCTCTCCCGCTGGACTTCGGAGCAGCCTGCGTTGACCGCTGCCATTGTCGTCGACGACGTTTCCTGGGTTTCTTCGCCGTCGCTGCTGGAGCTGCTGCCGCCGCCGTTGTGGCTCCTCACAGACGGCATACCATCATCGGTTGGATGATGGAGCACGGGAGCCTCATCGGCCCTGATCTCCGGTCCACCTCGGCCCCCCTGCCGCTGGCCGCCGCCAAAGCCGACCGAGTAGCCCTGCTCCACGATCCCCTTGACCATGATGCGGACGTGCGACACCTCACGCTCGGTGCGCTGCATCATCAGGCGCGAGACCTTGTCGGCCACCTTGCGCACGTCGTCTTTGGTGCGCCACCACAGGAACCTGTGGCCAAAGTCGCGGCGGTATGCGGCCGTCCAGCTCGCGAAGCTCCCCGTGTCGCCGTACGCCTCCATGTCGGCGGCGCGCGCGTCCGCCCCGGCGAGGTCCTTCTCGGTCCACACGTCCCCGTGCCGCATCGCCTCGGCCCGCCGGCCCGCCGCCACGAGGGAACGGCCGCTCCAGGTCCTTGAACTGCTGCCACGGGTCGCGCAGGACCTGCTGGTGCAGCGCCAGCGTGTGCTCCGACATGCTGAGCCGGAGCAGCTCGGCTTCGGTGCTGTTGGTGTTGTCCGACGCGCCGCAGCCGCGCCAGGTCGAGCCGTCGCTTCCCATGCTGCTGCTGGCGCGCCTGGATCGGCGGTGGCTTCTCCTGCGGTAGACCCTGTCTTCAGCGGTTTTGGCGTCGACATCGTGGTGGGCCTGGGTGCGGTGGTGGTGGAGGTGGTGGAGATGGTGGCTGTGGTAGAGGCGCGCGGCCGCAAGTTTCACCCGCAGCTCCTTGCCCTGTTGGCGCAGCGCCCAGCGCTCCCCGCACATCTGCTGGCGGAGGTTGCCTAGGTAGTCACCGATCTCTACGGGCGCCATGCGGACCGTGGTGATGAAGGCGCCGTAGAGCGCCATCAGGTTCAACACCGTCAGCATGTACGAGAGCACGCTCAAGACGAAGGCGATCCAGCCTATGGGGCCCGTTGGCTCGCTTCCGGCCGCCGTTGCTTTCGTCGCGGCGGTGCTGTCGCTTGGCCTCTTTGGGTTTCTCCAAACCCGGGCTGTTCTGTCCCTTGCCCTTTTCTTATGTTTCGCTCACCCCTTGTCCACAGAGGTTGGCTGCGCGTCGCCATGCAACGAGCAGACCGCGTCAGCGAGACGGCATTGTCGTGATGCGCGAGAGCTGTGCACCTCGGGGCTTTTGATGTCTCTGGTCGGCTATGGGACAACACAACCCTCAGTCCTTTCTCCATTCTAGGCCACGGTGCTCACTATCCTTGGGTAAGTATGGACGAAGCACATCAGAACAGGGACGGCATCAAATAGATGCACTCCTAGCCATCATCCACGTGCCCTTGGGCCACGCAGTGCGTGTCCGGATCGAAATGAACAGGGATAAATAAATAAAAAAGACAAGCTCGCTGCAGCCACCCCGCCACGCAACCCGTCAGCATGCAAGTGCACGGATGAATGTGGATGTACCTGTCTGTTCGCGCTGCGGACCTGGTGAACAAACAGCCTCAGCCATCAGTATCTGCCGGCGTCGTTTCGGCGCTTTGGCCTCGGATCCCTCCTCCCCGCTTGAACCTTTACTTGCCAGTGTGACGGGACGCTAGGGCAATCCTTGTCGGCAGCGTGGCACTGGCCGATCGTTGGGTCCGGCCGCACGGGCGGTATTTCTGGTGGTGTCTGTGCAGTACTATAAAGACCGGACAACGACTCGGACCACTGGGACAGCAAAAGCAAGATGAAATGGATGTCTATTGTTGTTTTACAGCCCCGATCGACAAACAGGACGGTCACCCCGTCGGGACTGCAAGACCTATGGAAGCCAAGCGAAAGAACAAACGCTAGGTATCATGATCAAAAAGTTGGTATACACAGTGACACAAAAGCCTGAAACAAAAACACACTCGTTAAAACACTCGTGGCTCGTGGCGCAGGGGCATCTTATGCGGTGGCCTGGAAGCGGCTGACGACCCAGGCGGCGGCGTCGGCGGTGTACTTCTCAAAGTAGACGTGGTGGATGGCCTGGTTGGAGCCGCGGTCGCAGTAGCGGTCGTCGGCGTCGCACCACGACTTCATGCCGGCGCCGTAGGGGGCGCAGCCGGCGTTGTCGACACGGGGGAAGAGGCCGTCGCGGGTGGTGACGTTGCCGGCGTTCCAGGCCTGGTTGGCGGCGCGGGTCGGGTCGCCGAACATGACGGAGGCGATGACTGTTGAGGCTTGTTGTCAGTAAAGGCGGGCGAGAGAAGGGTGCGGGGTTGGTTTGGTAATCTCCGATTGGGGTAGCATTGACACATGGGACAAGCGAGATGTGGGCGCGGATGGACCGATGAATCCAAGAATGGTGGTGTGGGGATTCCTGGATCTTGAATCGGGGCTATACCAGGAACATGGGATCCGTGGTGTTGGGATTTGAAGGCCGGAGAATGAGACGAAGAAGAAAAAAAACATACCGTTGTTGGCGTACTGGTCACCCAGGTCGGCCGACTTGGGGAAACCGGCGCTGCTGAGACCGCACACGACATCACCGACGACCTGGGCGCCCTGCGAGTAGCCGATGAGGGCGATCTTGCTCTTGGGGCACTTGGCGACGTGGTTTTGGACCATCTGCCTCATGGTGCTGGTGCCCTGAATGACGGACTCGGCGTAGATGACCTGGGTGTCGAGCAGGGCCGGGTAGTCGACGGCGTCGGCCGAGCTGTTGGGGATCTGGGCCTTGACGGCGTCGACGACGGACTGGATGTCGCCGAAGCCGGCCGGCTCCTTGGAGCCGCGGGCTACGATCATCTTGACGCCCGTCGAGCACGACGAGACCGTGATGGCGGCGCCGGCGGCGGTGGCGGCAAAGGCGAGGCTCGCGGCGGCGGCCTGGGCGAAGGAGGAGGAGGAGACCATTGTTGCGGTTGGGGGGTGGGAGTGAGTGAGTGAGTGAACGAGAGTGAGTGTTTGTGTCTGTGTGTGTTAAACGAAGGACTGGATGATGAAATCCTGGGTGAGGATAAAAGGAAGAACAGACGAACCAAGACGACGTGGCAGCGAGTTTATATCCATCTCTCGGGCTACCATCTTGTCGCCCCCTTCGCCCCCGTGAATATCAAGTCAGGAATGATCGGGTGAGCCTCGGGGCGGAGAGTGGGCCAGCCCAGCGCTCAGGCCTCGCCCTCTTTCCCTCGGCCTGCCGTCTCGACGACCACGAAGCTCGGTTCAGCTTCCCGAACAGGGGCGCCACGGCCGCCGCTGCCCTCTCCACAGCAAAAGGGTCTGCAAAAGGTCTGCAGCCCCCCTCTGCCGGCGCAGCCACCTCGTCAATGCAGGTGGGCTGCTGGAGGGCACCACCACCCCACCGAGATACTTCAACTTCATTTCCAGCTGTCGGCTCTGCCACTCTGCCAGAATGGGAAGCGCAGAAAGACCGACGTGCTCAATTTAAGGAAACCCCATCCGCAACGGCATGCTTTTATCTGTCATGGCCACGTGGTGTAATATTGAATTTAAGAGCTGAGAATGGCGCCGCCGAGCAGGGTCCCCCAAACAAAGCCAAAAAAGAAGACTGAAAAAAAAAAGAAACTCGGCTCCCTTGTTCCAGAGCCTCGTCCGAACCTCCTGTCGGCAAACGCAACCGCCCTGCCTGACCGCTTCCCCTGGGCCCATTCGTTATCGCCCGCGATCGTGGCTTGGCTTACCGAGATTCAGCTGTGAGATCCACAGCCGTCAATGCATTCGGGGCGAGGAAGGCAAGGATGTCGGCCACGCCTCCGCGCCTTTCCACCATGCAGGCTTTTTTTTCTGTAGTGATTTTTCCCACTTCTTTCTCACGTCCCGAGGCGGCGGCCGAAAAAGCCCGCCCGGGCAAATCCGTAAAATCTCCTTTTGCTTGCGTCGAACGGGTGGAAGAGGCGTGGGGTTGTTGTTACTGGTGGTTGGTGATCAAAATAGAGGTCGTGATCCCATGGGTCTTGAAGCCCGAAGCTTCTCATGGCTGCCTTCCTAATCCAGCAACCAGCTTGACGTCTTGGTTGTGGTCTGGGCGGGTGCCAATCTGCCCAACAAGGCTTGTTTGTGATGACCAATCTCTGTGTACTATCTAGTAAGCTACCTGGGAACTTTCTAATATTCACATGCAAACCCCAAAAATCACACAGTCTTGACGTCCACCCCGTGCATCTCCCGAGGAAACACGCAGCTCGGCGACGAGCAGTCGCCCCGCGAGCAGCGGTGGCCGTAGATGCACCTGGGCTCGGTGCAGCGAAGGCCGCGCGGGCAGGGCGACAGGCGCGACACGGCCAGCAGCGCCGTGCGCTTGTCGGCCCGCAGCCGGTCACCGTGGCCGTAGTGGCAGGTCGGGTAGTAGCACTCGCCCAGCAGGTGGAAGTTGTTGCACAGCCGCCGCTGCTTGAGCTGCTGGAAGTCGGCCTGGGCGTAGTCGAGGTGCGTGTCGACGCGCTGGTCCGCCGCGTTCTTGCGCACCACGGCCCAGCTGCCTCCAGGCTTGAGAGTAGTGGTAGTAGTAGTAGTAGTAGTAGTAGCACTGGTAGCAATGCTGCCGCTGGACGATGACTCGCTGCCGTTGCAAGACACGGGCGAGGCCGGCTTGGCAATGACGCTCGCGAAGCTGATGGCCGGCGTGGTCGGCGGCGTGACGTGGAACGACACGCGCCGCTTCACCGTCGGCAGCTTGTCCTGCCGGAACACCCCCTCCATGCGCGCGACCCGGAACCGGTCCTTGATGTCGGCCAGCTCGTGCGCGAACGGCGGGCCCTCGAGCAGCGTGACGCGCCCGCAGACGGCGGCGTCCTGCACGTGCTGGCCCAGCAGGCGCGCGTAGCCGTTGTCGGCCGAGCCGCCAAAGAAGACGCGCCGGCAGTGCACGTCGTCGACGTGCAGCCGGAACATGGCCCGCACCTTCTCGTCGGAGCACTCCTTGCCGTTGCCCGCGTCCACAAAGTCGAAGCCCGCGTCGGCCATGTTGAAGCCCCGCACGAAGTCGTCGAGCGACGAGTGAGGGGGGAGAACCCCGAGGTCGCGGTATACCCGGTCGAGGCCGCGGAGGTTGGCGTAGACGCGCACGAGAACTTGGAGGTGGGAGAGCTTGGCGTCGGGCGTCGCGTCCAGCTGTTCCTTGACGGCCTGCTTGAGGTTGTGTGCCGCCTGCCGTCCGCCCTGGGCGCCATCCTTGACCAGGTCGTCTTTGAACTGGACCGTGATGGCAGAGTGCGTTAGCATATCTTCTCTTGTTGGCCATTAGGGGTATCAAGTACCGGGGCACTTACAGGCATGCAATCACCGTCAATCAAAACCACAGCAAACCCATGTCGCTCCTGGAAACAGGTAGACAATGTTAGCTGGCATCCAGAATAATCGGGATGGAAAACTGACCTTTTCGTGAACCAACGTGCTGATTGTGCTCTCGGCCTTTTCATTCTTGTCCAGGAAATACTCGTTCGTCCCCTTTTGGTGCTTGAGCTCACGCTTCACCTCCTTCAGTTGCTCGTTTAGGTTCTGCACATGGCTAAACAGGCTCTGAACGACAGTTCAAGATCAGTCACCTATCAATCGAGAGCGCTGAGGCGTTTGGCTCCTACCGTGATCAACGCCTGCTTCTGGTCGTCCTGGCTCTGGCACGTCTCCCACAAGCCCTTGAGCTCCTCGAACTTGTTGTCAGGTTCATCCATTTTGCACAAACAAGACAAAGCTGGTGAGTTCGAATATCGATGGCGAGATGTTGGGGTTATGCTCTGAAGCAAAAGTTGCAGCCAAGTGATAAAAAGGAAGCAGCTCTGGTATTGAGCTGCGAATCCTTGCTACAGAACACGACCTTCAAGATGAGCCCGATGGACGGAAACTGGACAATAAGTAGACATTGAAGGGCAGGGGATAGCAAAGGCGCCAAAAGCAGGGCGAACGCAGCCTAACCAATAAGTCCGGGCGGCCGGCCCCGAGAATGGCCTCGTCTCTCTATTGGGCGCTGTTGGGGCCCGGCCAGGCAGACTGCGGTGCAGAAAACGGTTGGGTGCGTCAACAATGAAATGCGGCCGACAATACGCTGTGTCGCCTCCCAAACTAGTCCGGGCACGTCGGCGCCTGCAGCCCTGCCCGTTAACGTGTCTGCCTTGGGCGGCCCTTGTTTTCGCGGAGCTGCACGAAAAGAAAGGCTTGGCGGCCAATAGGGATCTACCCCAAGAAGAGGGAGTGGCCGCGAATGAGGCCAACACACAGCTTGCCAGCTGGTGGTCACGCCAAAGCCCAGCCAACGACTGCTCGGTGTTAAGGCGGGGAGCTCGTCACATCACGTTATTGTGCCGTGAGGGGGCAGGCAAGAGGGACAACAAACAGGACAGGGATATCGGAAATCGGAAGTAAAGAAGGAGGATATCTGCGAGCTATTAGCGCTTTCGCCACGAACCCCTGGAATTTGTTGTGTCTACTGCGTAGTGTTGTGTTTAAGGCATCTGCTGGTTGCCTTTTCTCCTGTCATTTCATGATCGCCCAGCATGGGCAGCATGCAGCCAACCACTGCATCTATCCCTTCACCCCTACCACCTCCACTGCTCCCACGCCTTCCGTCTTGCCGGGCCGGTCGATATCGACACCGACCTCCTCCTTGACCTGCTCCGCGACAATCTCGCGCTTCTCCCTGTCAAACAGGCCGTCCACCTGCTCCAGCGTCAAGCCCCTGGTCTCGACCCAGAACAGCGCCACAAAAACCACCATGAGCACGTCGAGGCACGCGTTGATCATGTACATCTGGTAGCCGATGGCGTCGAGCCCAAACGGCGCCACCACGGTCACGAAGAGGCCACACAGCTTGGTAGACGTCGTGTAGATGCCCATGCCGACGCCGCGGATATCGAAACTCAAAATCTCGGGCGGGTACAGCACCGTCAGCGGCGTGATGCCCCAGGCGTAAAATGCGTTGTAGAAGAAGATGGCCGAGATGGTGCCGTAGATGCCGGCCGTGTCCGTCGACGCCCCGTACAGCTTGGTCAGCCCGCCCAGCACCAGCAGGCACGCGGCCTGGGCCGCCAGGCTGAGCGAGCAGAGCCACTTGCGGCCCAGGCGGTCCGTGTAGTAGGAGCCCGCGAAGGCGACTATCGTCGTCCACGACGTCAGCACGATGTTGACCTGCAGCTGCGTGTCGGGCGACCGGATCCCCGCGGCGGCCAGCATGTCGCCGAAATAGAACTGCACAAAGTTGGTGCCGGGCAGCATGACGATGATGGAAAAAGTGGACGCGATCAACAGCCGCCGCTGGTTGGCGGGCAACGAGAAGACGGCGCGGCGCAGGCCGAGCCCGCGCTCGCGCTCGAGCCGAATCGTGTCGTGGATCTCGCGGTACTGCACCTGCACGGCCGCGCCGTCGCCGGCGTTGACGATGGAGAGCACCGCCATCGCCTCGTCGGCCCGGTCGCGGCTGATGAGCCAGCGGGGCGACTCGGGCACGAAGAGGAGGATGGCGATGCACAGCACCATCGGCAGCGCCTGCAGGAGGCTTGGGATGCGCCAGGCCCACGTGGAGTCGAGCCGTTGCGTCTGAAACGACGGGTTAGTATGCGCTGCGCTGCCGTATTATCAACAAGGGTCAATATTGAAGTACTCACCCCATAGCAAACGCCCGACGCAACGAGCGTCCCGACGCCCCAGCACGCATAGTACATGGCCAAGGCAAAGGCTCGGTACTTGACGGCGATGGTCTCGGCCACCAGGATCGGGGCGGCCGTCTGGGCGAGGGCCATGCCGCCGCCGATGATGAAGCGGCCAGAGATGAACATGCCAATGTTCTGGGCGGCCGCCTGGATGACGGCGCCGACCAGGATGGTGCAGCAGGCCCAGAAGATGGACTCGCGCCGGCCGCGCCAGTCGGCCAGGAAGCCGCCGAACAGGGCGACGACGGAGCCGCCCACGTACGAGATGGCCGTGTTGAGCGAGCGCGTCGCCGTCGTAAGCTCAAAGTAGCTGCGGTACGACGGCATGACGTTGAGGCTGCCCATCAAGGAGCTGTTGTAGCCCACCATCTGTTGTCTGTGAGCTGGAGCCTCGGACGTGCGCGTGGCCCGTGGGGAAAGTGTGACTTACCGTCGAGTCGACGACCGAGACGAGGATCAGGCAGACGATAAGCAGCTTCTGCTGGCGCGGAACGAACCGCGAGATGGCTTTGGACTCCATGGCGGCGTTGCTTGTGTGGTTCTTGTTCCAGAGCCGTTCAACTTCCTCCCATCCCTGGCTCACTCACCCAGTGCTATGGGAGTGTGATGAAGAGGAAAGGAAAACCTAGCCGGCGGTGTCATCGTAGCCAAGACATCCCAGGGTGTCATCTGAATTTCTCAAGCCCACATGAACCCCTCTCTTGGTGGTTGCAGGGGACAGAAGAAAAATCCGAAGCCGCGATTCAGGGAATTCAAAATCTGGGGAACAACCGAGAAAAAATTCAGGGGTCTCGAATAAGTGGATGCGACAGTTACTGGACCCTAGTTGCTTGACCCTTAGCACTTACAACGGCCAGCCAGCCATGCAAATTCACTCAGCTCGCCGTGCGCATCTGCAACGTCGGGAGATGGCGTGGGACCAAATGTGGGGAACTGTCTGGTCCTGATCCCGACGGTAGCACTGTTGGACCAAGATGCAGCAAAGATCAAAGATCAGAGATGCTTCAGCGGCCACCGCCAAGCACCAACTGCCCGCCATGTCCGACGCCCTCCCCGCCGACTACCTGCACCGCATCTACGCCGGCGTGCTCGGCAAGCTGATCGGCGTCTACCTGGGCCGCCCCTTTGAGAACTGGACCTACGCCCAGATCCGGGACCGGCTGGGCCCCATCCACCACTACGTCCACGCGCGCCTGGGCCTGCCGCTCGTCGTCATCGACGACGACGTCTCGGGCACCTTTGCCTTTGTGCGCGCCCTGGACGAGCACGCCGTGTCCACCTCTACCCCTCTGACCCCCGCCCACGTCGGCGCCACCTGGCTCAACCACGTCATCGAAAAGCGCTCCGTCTTTTGGTGGGGCGGCAACGGCATCTCGACCGAGCACACGGCCTTCCTCAACCTGCGCCGCGGCCTCGCCCCACCCCGCAGCGGCTCGGCGTCGGTCAACGGCCGCACCGTCGCCGAGCAGATCGGCGCCCAGATCTTCATCGACGGTTGGGCCCTCGCCAGCCCCGGCAACCCGGCCCAGGCCGCGCGCCTGGCCGCCGCCGCCGCCTCCGTCAGCCACGACGGCGCCGCCGTGCACGCCGCCGTGCTGTGGGCCGCCATGGAAGCCGAGGCCTTTGTGTCGCGCGACGTCGACCACCTGCTGGACACGGGGCTGTCCTTTATTCCCGAGGACTCGCCCATCGCGCGCCTCGTCGCCGACGTGCGCATCTGGAACGCCGAGCTCGGCCCGGACGCGTGGGAGGTGACGCGGCGGCGCATCGAGAAGCGATATGGCTACAACAAGCACGCCGGCATCTGCCACGTCGTGCCCAACCACGCCGTCATGGTCCTGGCCCTGCTCGCGGGCGGCCACGACTTCTCGCGCGCCATGCACATCGTCAACACGTGCGGCTGGGACACCGACTGCAACTCGGGCAACGTCGGCTGCCTCGTGGCCGTCATGCACGGGCTCGAGGGTCTGGACCAGCACGGCGACAGCCTCGACTGGCGCGGCCCGCTGGCCGACCGTGCCCTCATCTCGAGCGCCGACGCCGGCTACTCCATCAACAATGCCGCCCGCCTCGCCTACGATATCGCCAACCAGGCCAGGAGGCTTGCCGGAGTGGAGGGTAACCTGAAGCCGCCGAAAGGAGGTGCTCAGTTTCACTTTTCGCTACCCGGGAGCGTCCAGGGCTTCATGACGGGCGTCTCAATGCCAGGGTCGCTGGCAAAGGTTGGCCATGGCCAAATTGATGGCGTTGGCGCTTTGAAGATCGACGTCGAGTTGGGCGAGTCAGGGGTCGACGTCTTCACAGATACCTTTACCCCTCTGGAAGTGCTCACCGTCGATCGAAACTACGAAATGATGGCCTCGCCCCTCATCTACCCAGGGCAAAGGCTGAAAGTCGTCGTGGGTGTCGGCGCCCGCGGCTCGGGATACGTCTTGGTAAAGCTCCGTGTCAAGGCCTACGACTTTAACGACACTCTTTTTACAACCGACAGCGGCGGGGCCTTGATTTTCGAGCTCGGCGCTCAGGAACCCGGCACCATCCTGGAGTGGACCGTCCCAGAATTCCTGGCCAACAAGCCAATCCAGCAGGTGGGCATAGCCATCGTCCCCTTATGCGGCACCACAGACAGCGACGCCGCCACGCCATGCCGCGGCACCATCTGGCTCCACAGCCTGGGATGGGACATCGCCGCACCGCGCATGGAGCTGCGACGGCCGTCCCGGGACCTGGCCACCGGCTCTTTCGACATGTGGGAGCGGGCCTGGGTCGGGTCCATGGACAAGGTGCACAAGTCGCTGGGCCGGCCCTTCTTCATGGCCCACGACAGCGGCGAGGGGCTGCTGTACCAGGGCACGCGCGACTGGACCGACTACACGGCGGCTATTGACAACTTCAGCATCGGCCTCGCCGCCGGGCCCATGGGCGTCGCCATCAGGGTCCAGGGCATGAACAGGTACTACGCCCTCGTGCTGCGCGGGTCCGAGCCCAAGCCCGACGGCGACGCCTCTTCTGTGTCGAGAGAGGTGGCCATCATCAAGGCTAGAGACGCCGAGCGGACCGTGCTCGCCATGCAAAGGTTTGACTGGGAGCTGGATGCGGCGTACAACCTTAGCATCAGTGCCGTGGGCAGTCGGATGGTTGGTAGCGTCTCTAGAGATGGAAATGCCGATAGGGTTGTGTTGATAGAAGCAGTTGACGAGGCACCCTGGAGGGACACAAACTACGGGTGCGAGTTCAGGGGCGGCGGCGCGGGTTTTGTCGTCACAGGCGGTGCCGTGTCTGCCGACTGCTTGCGCATCACTCCAGCGGCCAGGCAAGACGCGCACCAGTGAGAGCATAAGCCCGAGAGTCGGCAGCTAGAGTCTGGTTTGGCTACTCTGTCAATGCACACGAAGAAACGAGATTGCACCAGACTCATGCCCCAGCACAACAAGCTCCCCAAAGTTGGCCACACAGCGCGCATGATACTCCTCCGGGAGCCAAACCGCCTTCTCCCTTTCCCGCTGCACCCAGTCATGACTGACGAAGAGGGGTAGACGATGGAAGTAATTGGCGAGGGAGGACGCCGACGAGGAAGCGGATCGACCTGGAACCGCCAACGCCCCCCTGTCCGTCTCGAGGTATCTACCGCAAGACGAAAAGGACACGGTGCGGACTACTATACCCGCATCCATCACTTCCTCTGACCCGGTCTTGGCGTCCCAGAACTTGATCCTCCCGTCTACGGCGCAGTAGGCGACCACTTGGCCATCGGGTGAGAAGGCACTGCACGTCATGGCGTGCCCGCCCATCCCGAGGACTTCGCGCGTCTCGTGCCGGGCCACATCCCAGACCCGAGTGCTTGCGTCCTCCGAGCTGGACACGAGCTGCGTCCCGTCAGGCGAGAAGGCAACAGAGTTCACCGGTCCCGTGTGGCCCGCGAGCAACGCCACTGGCTCTGCCGTGCGCGCATTCCAGATGATGACATTGGCATCTGCAGAGCATGACGCCAGTGTCCGGCTGTCCCTCGAAAAGGCCATGTCACCGACCGGGAGCCTGTGGCGCTCCAGCGTAGCCAAAGCCGCCCCAGTGTCCGGGCTCCACAGTCGAATCGAGTTATCGGCCGCCAACGACGCAAGCATTCGATTGTCCGGCGAGAATACTGTGAGCTGAACCTCATCGGTATGGCCTTCGAGAGTGTGGTGTGCCGATCTCGAATGTGCGCTCCACAGCCTGATCGTCTTGTCGCTCGACGCTGATGCAATAAGCAGTCCGTCTGGGGAGAAGGTGAGGTGCTCGATCGCAGCCGAATGGCCAGTCAAACTCCAATGCTCAGACAGCTCCTCCACCAGCCACAACTTGACTGTACCGTCATGTGAAGCCGTAGCAAGGAACCCTCCGTCCGGCGAGAAGACGGCGCACGTTACCGCTTCGGAATGCCCCTTGAACTCGCCCTTGGCCAGTATGGCCGAGTCTTGCATCTTGATCATGGTGGAAGGGAGGGCAATGTCGCTGGTGCTCTCCAGAATTGTGAAGCCTGCAAGCTCTATCACGGGCGACGGCGCCCGGTCGTGAAACTGCTCGATCATCAAAAACCCATTGTCGTCATCGTCCAAGTCTTGAAAGTCCTCCAATTGGCCTTGCGGCTTCCAAGAATCCACGTCCCAGAGCCAGACCTCGTCGTTGAAGCACCCAGACGCCAGGGCTTGGCGGTTGGGAGAAAATAATACGGCGTTGACGCCGCTTGTGTGGCCTCGGAGGGTGTGCAGGGGGGCTCCGGTAGCGGCGTCCCACACCCGGATGGTCTTATCATCGCCACCAGAGACGATAAGTCGATCGTCCGGCGAGAAAGTGACGGCCATGATCTTTTTGGTGTGCCCCCTCATCATCAATATCTCGCTCCATCTTGCCACATTCCAGACCCTTACCGTCAGGTCGTCGGAGCCAGACAGGATGTGCTTTCCACCACTCGAGAACCTGACCGAGTTGACGGCGCCCGAATGGCCGTCAAGTATTGCGCGGAGCTCTCCCGAGCCGCCCGACACGTCCCAGACGCGCACCATCTGGTCCACCGAACCCGCCACGATGGATGCCCCATCGGGGGAGAATGTGGCCGAATTCACACAGCCCGCCTGATTGCTGAACTGGCAAAGGTTCCTCCCGCTTTCCGGGTCCCACAGCGCGATGGTTTCGTCCATTGATGCCGACATGAGCAACTTGTTGTCAGGCGAGAAGGCCACAGAGTTGACCCAGCGCTTGTGCGTCTTGAGCATGTGTCGCAGCTCACGTGTCCTGAAATCCCAAACAGCGACGGTGAAGTCGTCCGAACCGGCGGCGATGGTCCTTCCGTCTCGCGAGATGGCGACAGAACTGATCTTGTCCGACGGGCCTTCGAATTTGCACGCCACAGCTTTTGTAGCAACGGTCCAAAGTCTGGTCTCGGAGCCCATCGAGCCCGACGCAATGTAGCGCCCGTCAGTCGTGAACGCCAAGTCATTGACGTAGTTGGACTCGTCTTTTGTGGCTGGGACATCGGCAGCAGCAACCCGGGCGCCCCTGACCCAGGGGTGGAGCTGATTCAAGAGGTGCTCCCGCAGTTCGTTGGGCTGGAGGAAGGCGATTGCAGCGCAGTATATCTGGAGTGGTGCCTGCTTGATGACGTTCAAAAACGTGAATAGCAGTCGCCTGGCATCTCCGACAAAGAGACTCTGACGCTTGTTGCACTCAGGCTGTGACTGTGTCAGGTTTGGAGTCCTGGTAGCAAGAGGTGTCTGAGAAGGTCGTAAACATGGGGCAACTGACGTACCACAAGCAGGGAGTTATATAGGCGAACAGTAGCCGTCATTCCTGCGGTTTTACCCAAAAGGCTGATGGCTTCAACCCAACAAAGGAAGTACTCTCGGAAAAAACAGTCCACTCGATCGTTGTCGCAGAGGCGCTGCCCGCTCATTTGGACGTGCTGAACCCAGTACAGGCATGCGTACTCGAGCACAGGAGGGATGTGCTGCTTAACAATATCTGGGTCGACGTCCTTGGCAAGGGTACCCGGGGACTCGAGGCCGCATATATCTCTCTTGAGCATCTCGGACATGATATCGATGCAGCTGTCAGCGAGGATGGAGTGGGCTTCTCTCCCGTTCACCCAAAAGCTGGGATCGCCGCACCGCTGGTTATCGAGTAGGAAGTCGCGAAATGTAGGGTGGTGGAGTCTGAGAGTTTGAGACGTGCTGCTGGGGATGTGGAAGATGGTGTGCAGGTCGGCGAGGACATCCTTAAACGTTTCGCCAGGGGGCAGCTCGATCAAGCGGCCAAGAGAGTCGATAGAAAGAGGTGATAAGAGAACCACGATGCTCCCGAGGACTCGTTTAAGTACTAGGCAAACTTCATCCTTCTCTGTCGGGCTGCTGTCCTGCGCAATGGCGTTTTGCAGCACCGTCGTGTATATCTGGTCGAGCTGCTCTTCCGGGCCCGCTTTGCCAGAGCGATGTTCATTGATGAGCTTCTCTATTCGTCGCGCCGCGAGACGCTTTCCTCCCTCGATGAAACGGCAGGCAGTCGATGCCCAGATGAAGAGGCCGCAAGAGCACTCGACCAGGCGCTCGATGGTCTCCATTCCAGGCCAGTCGTCCCCGTAGTCCCGCCCCTCCCTGATGTTAGAGAAGCGGGACTTGAAGAACTGAGTGAGATCTCGGTCGATCAGCGTCTTGGATATTTCGTGAAGCACAAAAACTTGGCGCTCGGTCACCGGTCTTTTGGAAAAGGCGGAGCGGACCGAAATCTCGGGGCGGCTCGTGATCAGTATACGCAGCCTGACGGATTCGAGTAGGCGGGCCGTGGCCAAGATATTCAAGACTACCTCGATGCTAGTGTCGCTACCACACTCATCCAGGGCGTCGATTACCATGACAATCTTTCGCGGAGCCGGGTAGCTGCTGAGCTTCGAAAGAGGCCCTCTAATCAGCGTCTCCCACTGGTACCGCAGGGAGCGCTGTGCAATGTCCGGCTGTTGTGATACAGCCTCGGATATGTAGCGCCTTGCTGAGGCAGCGCTCGCCGCCAGCTGCCGAGCAAGGGTTGTGAACAGCCGATCGGCATTGCCCACCTCGCCGCCACCCTTGGAGAAGAAGAAGCTTGCGCCGAGTTCACCCTGGTCGTGGTAGATATTGGCGATGGTGCGAGCGACGGTGGACTTGCCCGTGCCGGCCATGCCACTCAACCAGTAAATGCAGCGGTCGTCAGTGCGATCGTCGGCCCACTGCTGGATGCCGTGGAGAAGATCTGTTCTCGTGGTGGGCAGACAAAGAGGCTCGGACTCGTTCTTCTTGGAGTTGAAGGGAGCATCGGTGGCGACTGGAAGCGACTCCAGTGCCGGGTCAAGTCGGGGTCCGATCTTGTTGAGTTTTTTCTGCAGCCGTAGAAACGCGTTATGACCCTCGCCGTATCTGAGCGACATGGACACGTCGAAGATGCCAAGAAGGCAATACGCTTTGTCCTCTGGGCGTTTGGTTTGGCGGTTTTCTGTCCAAGAGAGGCGATCCGAGACGGTAAAGTCGCCGAGAGGGTGACCTTTCAGGGTGTGGTGCGGGATGCGAGTGATCTCATGGATGGTGTGCTCGAGTGACTTCTTGTCGCCGAACTGGATGCCCTCGACGGAAAAGAAGCCCACAGATGCAGGCGCCAGGAGCTCTTGGAGGGTCCATCCGCGGGTGAACCACCGACTGCGACGAAATTCGGCTTCCCATGGCGGCGGAGAGCCCTTTCTCCCAGCTCGCGTACGGGCTCCGTCGCCGACGAAAACATCGGTCAGAAACGCATAACACTATGTAGCGTCGCGGTACCAAGTAAACATGGACGCCAGTGACTCCTGAAGCTCCGGGCTGTTCTCCTTATTGATACAGCAGGTATCAACCCAGAAGTACTCCAGCCCGTCCTTGGCCGCCTGCTCTCCGCAAAACTGGATCTTGGAGAATCCAGGCTTGCTCTTGGCGGCATTGGGAACTTGGAGATCCGTGAAAATGACTTCATCCTCGTTGTTGGCGAGCCAGGTGTGCGATAGGATGGCGTACTCAGGGGGGCGGTCGTCGCCGATAAACTCGCGGGTCAATTCGTACTCGCCGCGGGCTTTGCGATGGAGAAGCCGCATTGCGATTGGCGCTGGGGATAGCAAGCGAGGTCCTAGGTTTCATCAAGCCCTAGTTGTGGTGGACGGCGTGTGATGGCTACTGGGCGTAGATAATCTAGACGGGGTCGGTGGCAGTTTCATGAATGGGGGTAGAGGAAGACCGGACTCCTCGCAAGTGGCAAAGCCGCTCACTGGGAATGGATGGTGCGGAGCGGGGTTCCATGCAGCTCGTGCTGTTCCCAGCACAGGGTTCGTGTTGGGACAAAAGAAAATGGAAGGAGTGCCTGAGCATTAAGAGCTCCCGCGCCCCTTACGTGCACGAGAAAATAGTGAAGCGAAAGTGCACTTTTGGTACGTGTCGCACCTTCCGTATCTTGACTGGTAAGCCGCCTGCATACCTCATACATTCATATTACCAAACCATCCACACCACGAGCACCTGTCGCCTTCTCTCTATTGGACCGGCGATGTCTACATGTGGTTGGATCAATCATGGGATGGATGGGTGGGGGATCTACCACGCCTTCGTACAAAACCCAACACTCCCCCTCTTCCTGTCAGCCGGAAATGCACTTCCTTTCACCGCCGTCGTCACCGACACCAATCGCAATGCCAGACATGGTGGCACAAACGAAGCCACTGCATGCTTTGACCGCCACCGAGGCTTTGGCTCTGCTTCAGGTCAGCAGCGTCTCCATAAAAGACTATGCGCTCTATCTCCTAGCCCGGGTGCAAGAGAGGGAGGCGACTGTCAAAGCCTGGGCATACTTGGGTGGGAAGAGGACCGTCTCCTTCTGAGCACCTAGTACAATATCTAGCCGCTGACCTGCTTGGGCCAGATCCAAAGCTTGTCCTGGAACAAGCGAGGTCGCTCGACCGTATCTCGCCCGACAGGCGAGGCCCTTTACATGGAGTGGCCGTTGGGATCAAGGACATTATGAACACAAAGGGTGCCCAGATGTCTACATGGCTATATTCGTGGCCTTGGTAAGACACTACTGACCGCGCCCACTGCTGTCCGTTAGACATGCCTACCGAGTTCGGCTCCCCAATTTATAAAGGAAACAGACCCTTATTCGATGCATCAGCTGTGTCAATATTACGAACTGCCGGTGCCCTCATCTTTGGTTCGCTCATTATCCACCTGCCGATCGCATATCGAACAGCGTTGTCCTAACCACTGTACCCAGGCAAGACACGAACCTCGGAGTTTGCCGTCGCCAACTGCGGACCTCCAACAACGAATCCCCATGACCCAGCTCGTACTCCAGGCGGCTCGTCATGCGGCTCAGCCGCGGCGGTAGCAGACCTACATGTGCCCCTATGTCTCGGAGTTCAAACCGGTGGCAGTGTCATTCGGCCTGCGTCCTTCACAGGGGTTTTCGCCATGAAGCCGACCCACAACGCGGTGTCTCTTGAGGGCTCCAAACCGTGCTCGCCCACCTTTGACACCATCAGCTTTTTCGCCCGCAGTGTCCAAGACTTGCAGCTAGTGGCAGATGTCTTTGCTCTCGGAAGTCATGACGTCCCTGAGAAGATAGAAGTTGACAAGATGTCGATCGCTTTGATCAAAACGCCCATGTGGGCTCAGGCAGGGCCAGGAACCGTGGTTGCGATGGAAGAAGCCACTTCGATCCTCGAAAAAGAGGGAGCCACAGTTCAACAAGTCCCTCTACCGGACGCCATCTCCCAAACCGCAGCGCTCAAGCGGATGCTGAAAGTTATCATCAGCGGCGAGGCACGGGTAACGTTCCTCAAGGAATACCGGATGGATGGTGGGAATTTATGCGAGGAAATCCGGAACCTCGTCGAGAACACATCAAACACCACGGCCAAGGAACAACAAGAAGCTTCCGATGCGCTGGCCCGTATCCGGCCGCTAGTAGACAAGCTAGCTGTCGGCTACACGGCAATTCCCGCGCCCAGTGCGCCCGATGAAGCTCCCCTTGGGCTTAAGGACATGGGCAGTCCAGCCTTCAACACTATTTGGACAGCATGTGACCCACGCTGAGCCTCCCATTTCAGACCCAGCCCGGATTGAACTGACCAAACTCTCATAGGGACTCCACACGCCGGTCATCAACATACCCGCATTTGCTGGTGGCAATGGGATGCCAATTGGAGTGTCACTAATATCCGCGAGACATCACGATCAACATCTCCTAAAGATTGCCAAAGCTCTGACAGAGCCGCTGATGACGGGGAGAATGTGTAGTTCCCCTGATAGCGATAACTAGATAAAACCACAAAGTTCTCGAATACAACCAGTACAAACGATCATATACCCTATCAATACTCTATCGAGTCATCCTCCTGCTCTCCATCTGCGAGTCCCCGTCATGCTTGTTCCTGAGTCTCGCGTTCCTAAAGATTGTCCCGTCTCAGTATTTCCCGTTCCAGATCCTCGCCTTCCAGCCCCAGAGCCTCAGCGAGATCCCCCCTGTACTTGGCTTCGTACGCCCGCGATGAAGCTGCAGCCTTATCCTCCGCAGTCGGAAAATCGACCAAGTTGTGGACATCTCTCAGCCTTAGGTCAGTTGCATTCGGAGGTGGGAGCTTCTTGCGCTCCCAGCTGTGCCTAAAGATGCCAGTTTCCATGATGTGCTCTTCTGGATCAACCCGACTCAAATTCTCCATTCCGGGCAATATGGGCAAAGGCGTGGTCTCCTGAGGCTCAGTGGCGAGAAGAAAGTCCAGTAGCTTCTGCGTCTGGTCAGGACGGAGTTTGCAGATCCTGTAAGTGACGCCAACACGGCTTGGATGCCAGTACACCGCGCCCGGCTCGCCCCCTTCGGTCTCAGGTCGGCGGTCGAAGAGGGCAACGCCACCCAAAATCTGGTTCTCGGCCCAAAATCCGACCATGTCTGCTGCTCCCTCTGGGTACTGCTCAAAATCCACATACCACAGATGATACATGAGCGTTGGGAGGGGTCCGTTCAGGTGCTTATCCCAGTACCTCCAGTCGTCTTTTGGCGGTACCCATTCAATGACACCATCTTCTTTGTGCAAGCTCGTGTCAAGATTAAAAAGAATGACGGCGATCTGGTGGACTGCCAGGGCGACCAGCTCGATCAGCCGTGTGTTGAAAGCCTTCGACCCCAGGCCCGCAGCCTGGTATGCAAGGAGTACCTGAGGGGTGCAGGTTCATCTTACGCTGCTGTCGAATTTCAGGATTTCGGGCTGGAAGGCGTCACGGAACTCATGCACCTTCTCCAGCACGCCTAGGCAGAGGTCGCTGTGACAGGTCCGGATCGGGTGCTTGATCGGGAGGTCGCTGGCTCTGGGCCCCCTAAGGGCTTCTCTCAGCGGCAGGCCGTCCACGACTTGAGCGTACACTGTTTCGGCAGCCTGTGTGGATATGATGTTGGAAATTGCCCGCTTCAAGGTCTCAAGATGGGGTTCGTCGAGAATCTCAATGGAAAGTTCCCGAGACTTGTCGTAGTCGGGCATGGTTGAGGACTGGGGGTTGAAGGAGAGAGAAGAAGGAATGGACTGCCCGGTTTGTGGAGGATATGTGGGTTTTCCTATTTCGTGTCCCGTTCTTAAATATCACCCTTCATTTTTGTACTTATCAACTCCCATGGTCGTTCAATGGACATGCTGTTTACGCTCCGTCCACTCTGATTGCTGGTGCAAGTGGCCAAAAAAGGAAATTCTTGATCCACAGATTTCTCGCCGTGCAAAGCACGGTGCCGCTGCGACTCGCATTCTACAGACCTCATAGATGACAAAACATCCCCGCCGCCTACATGCAAGATGGCAACATCGGTTAGTGGTTATTCCGTTGGCCTGCTATTCAGCATCCTCCCCAGGAGTAGTCACAATAACAAAGCCAATGCCCTCGGGCGCGTGAGTTCGAATCTCACTGTTGTCGTGTACCATCTGCTTTGCTTTTGCTTTTGCTGCGCTTGACTGTGTTTTTTCCCCCTCTCTTTTCAGCAAGTTCCCAAAGCATTTTTTTCCCTGCTTCTTTTTGGGGGTTTGTCGTTGGAGTGGATTTTGCATTTTGAATTCCTGATCAATCAAGGCTGGGGGTTGGCCTGACGGCACTGACGGCACTGACGCCAGCGCAACCAAAAATGAGGGGCGGCTCTCGAAGTGGGCTGCGCGAACCGCAGACGGGTTTTGTCTGGTGCCAGCATTTGGATTGAGTGGGCGGCGGCTCCAAGCCGACTGGACACGGCCTTCAATGCTTGGAATTGGAATGGGTATTGGATTTGATGGGACTTCAATGTTTACTCTGCACAGCGAGGTCTGCACCATGCACCATGCATTGACGCCCGCTGACCGCCGACTCACGCCCCAAACAAACCAGCCTTAGCCCGACGACTGCCTCGCCCTGCGACCTCAACCTGCTTCCCTCCCAGCCCAGAGCGCCTACAATGACCCCATGGCTTCCATCCAGACCACCTCCATCCTGGCCCGCGCAAGGCCAGGCCGCCTGCATGCCGCCCGCGTGCTCGTGACGCCGTCCGCCGCCAGCTCCAATGCCGCGCCAGCGCCGACCCCAGCGGTCCTGCCCGCGCCGCCCGTCTCAACGGCTGCGCTCTCCGCCGCCGTCCTGGGCAGCTCCAACATCTCGCTCTTTTTGACCAACCTCCGCTTGCTCGACCTCGACCTGCTGCCTGACTGGCCCGACATCAATCCTCTGACGTTTACCAACAAGGACATCGCCCAGGGCCAGAAGAAGCGCATCCAGTCGGTTGAATGGGCTCTCTACCAGCTGTTCGACCTTTGGGACGAGGAAGAAACTCGGGTGGTACGCCTCGTGCCATGTGGCCTGCAACGCCCTAAAACGTTGTGTCCGATTGATGATGCTAACATGACGACGACCACTGCAGAAGCTCCAGCCATTCTTCCCTCCCATGGACCAGGTCCAGTCCATAAACCTCCGTGCCGCCCTGCTACGATGTCTCGAGAACGCCAAAAAGACGGGTGTGCTCGGCCGCGACGCCGTAGTGCGCAAAACCATGCTAGACGAGTGCAAAGGCGAGCGCCTCGAGGAGGTCCTGGCCGTCTTCTCGTCCGCCGTCCTCAAGAAGCTCGCCGCCGAGGCTCACCTCAACGACCCCACCACTGCGCGCGAGACCCCCGCCATCTCCCAGGTTCTCGCCCTGGAGAACCGCGGGTACTCGGTCGACTCGTCGGGCGAGATCGCCACCCTCGTGCTGGCGCATCGCGTCTCCCTGTCACGCCTGCTGCGGGAAAAGGCCGAGGCTCGGCGCCGCTACGGCGAGCTCGCTCAGCTGCTGGACCATAAGGAGAAGGTTATCGCAGAGAGGACCGCCCAGGCCAAGGCTCGATCAGCCGACTCCAAGACCAGGACAGGTGCCAGGCCCATGTCCGAGAACGAGAAACTGGCTCTCTGGCGCGCTGTGCGCAACAACTGGACTGGCAACGAGCGTTGGATGGAGACGTTGCTGTATGGCGACACCCACAGGGACGGTATCCTAACGGCGCCGTTTGACCGCGTGTGGAGGCGGACCCGCACCGGCCGCCTGGCCGAGCTGGAGGAAGATGGCAAAGACAAGGACGGCCAACTCCTGGCCCAGCTGGACGGCCGCGTCCAGGCGCAGAAGGACCGCCTCAAAAAGTGGCAAGACTTTCGCAAAGACATGTTCGGTACCGACACAGCCCGCCAGGACCGCGAGCAGAAGAGGAAATCGCTTGGTCCGGCGGGCCTGGACCCTGCTCCGGCGCAAAAAGGCATCGACTTTGGCTTTGGGGAGCATGAAAGTCTGCGCCTTGGGAGTGCGAACCCGAAGAGCCTATCAGTCAAGGCGCAGGCGCTGAAGCCTGAGTACGTGACGATTGTTGAGGATTTGCGGCAGGAGTTAGACACTATCAGCAAGGGCGCGGCAAACCCGTTCGCCGGGGCGCTGTTGCGTTCTCTCCCAGCTGGGTGGAACAAAGATGCAGACCCGACATGCGCAGATGTGGCTGAAGATAGTGTTCCCGAGCCTGCGGAATTAGAAGAGGAACGTCCTCTGGCGCGGCCCCGAGCCGCTACCCAGGGTAGGGAATGGACGCACAAACGGGCGGAGGAGCCGGAGCCGGAGCCGGAGCAACGCAGCCGCGGAGTTACCCAACCCCTGCGGCGGACGACCAGCACACGCGAGGTCCCGCGAGAACCAAGGAATCAGGACGGGGCCCGTGCGAGACCCGTGTCGCTTGTCCTCGATCATAATACCAGACTACCATCTACAGCAGCCGCTGGGAATAGGACTGCAAGGAACGGGGCTGTTGCTTCCTCGGGAGACCGCAGGAAGAATGTGTCACCAACCAGGGATTCCGTCCAGGAGTATCGGATCCAAGAAGCCGTGCCGGAGCCACGCACGCCGTCCCCTCCAAGGTCACCCCCGCGAAGATTGGCACACCGTCCTGCGCAGCCATCACAACAGCCGATGGCTGATTCACGGGGCCAACAAGATCAGGAGCCAGAGGCGCGCCCTGCACCCTCGCAAACGCAGCAGCTGGCTGACGAGATCCTCGATTGCATGGATAACGCCTCCCCTTCTCCCGAAAAGAAGATTAGGCCACGTCACACGCTGTCGCTCGCCGAGCGCACTCGCATGTCCATGGTCCGCGGCCCCCAGGCTACCGGTCCGGTCGACGCAGACGAGGACGACGAGACCTACAGGCTCCGACTCAAGCGGGCTGACAACAATGCCCGGGAGGAGGCGCTGATCAAAGAAGCAGCCGAGGAGGACGAGGCGGCCGACGACCTGGTGGCGCGGACGCGGCGCAGCATGGCCAACTTTGAGGCCACACGCCAACAGGTGCAGTTGGAGAGGCGCCGCTCCCAGCGCAGGGCGGCGCGCGAGTCGGCGGTCGGGCACCAGCAGCACCGCAGGAACGGCGGCGGAAGCGTGGTGGCCACGATGCCGACCACGGCCGAAGAGAGGCAAGGCGATGGGGAGGGGGAGTCGGTGCTCGTGGACGAGATTATACAGCGGGGACTGGACGAGGATTACGCGGCCGTGTTTATGAGTCGGCCCAAGATCAAGACCAGCCCGATGACGAGCCCAACGAGGCTGTGGGAAGAGTGAGGTGACGGGGTTGGGCCGAGGCCGGTGATGGTCATGTGCGGATACTCCAGGGTTCCAAGAATAGTGCAAACGAATAGGCCATGCTAAAACGAACTTATGAGACATCCGACCTTCCTGTGCTTCGCACCGGTCCGCACATAGCATGCGAAAACAGGAACCAAAGATCGCATCTTGCTGCCTATTCAGCTACAGCTACAATTTTTATATATACAGACCCATCTCGTCGGGGTCGGAGTCGTGCTCCTCGTAGCGGATACCCGCCGACATTCCCACATCCACACACTCCCCCCCTCACCACCCCTGCTTGGCCAACTCCCTGACGCGGTTGACGGTGTGGCGGAAGCTGTACTTGAAGCGGGCGCGCCACCTCTCCATCTTGAGGCGCTTGCGCTTAATGCCGGGCCGCTCGTGGAAGCGCTGCAGGCGCACGTCCTTGGGCATCTTGTTGTAGCGCACCGACATGGACAGCAGCGCAAAGGCGCGGGCCGGGTCGACGCGGGCGTTGACGGGCACCTCGCGACCCAGCGACGGCACCAGGCGGCGGCGCTCGCGCTCCTCGGGCGGGCCCATGAAGTCGTTGACGCTGAAGTAGGCGCCCGGCGCGCGTGTCATGACGTTGTTGGAGACGTACGCGCTCAAGGGGTTGGAGCCCGTGTCCCGCGGCAGGCTGAGCCGGTCCATGACCGTTCTCGTACCCCCGCCGATGGTGCCGCCGCCCGACGAGGCAGTGGGTGACTTGCGCCGCGCCCAGGATGGGGTGTTGTATACTCCTGGGGTCGTCTCGGAGGGGTCGGGCTTTCCGGGCGGCAACCATGAGGGCGTATCTGTTGCCTCGCGGGCGGGTGTCTGCGTGGGGGTGCCCGGGGCGGCGGCGGCGGCGGCTGCTGTGGACTGGTGGCGTATGGCGGAGAGGAAGGGCGTGTGATGGCGCGGGGCCAGCAGGGCGGCTGGCGAGGCTGTGCGGGAAAAGGCCGCCAGGCGCAGGACGCCCTGGACGGCGTGCCTGACCTCCATGGTCTGATGAAGGAGGCGGACTTGTCGTCAGCGTGGGGCAATGAAATGAAAGTGCCGTCAGGACAGCTCACGGTAGGGTAGGCTCAGCCGGCCCGGACTGATTGGTGTAGATGTGTCTGGTCGGCTCGGGTTTCGCTTGTAGACAGTATCTTGCCTAAGCTTCCTTGGTCTGCGGGACGCTGGAGGATGGGCGCTGCCTTTTCCGTCGTGGTAGCCAAGGCTGGCAAATTCAGATGCTTCGAAAGCCCGCAATTGGAGGCTCTGCACGGGCCACGGCACGGCAATCGAGAAATGGATGGCTGCCGCCGCACGTGACGCCCTGCCGATGGGTGTGTGGGGTTTGGCCAATGGCCCCACTGGCAGTGGAAGCGAAGCTGGTCGGAGCTGGCGCTTCCCGTCGCGTTTCCAGACTCTGCGCCGCCCGCGAATTTTGCTCGTCAATCGAGGCTGCGGACAAGCGACGCCGACCACCACAGCCGTCGTCCACGCTGCCACCTCAAGGCGCATCAACAGTATTCAATAGCGTCTGCAGTGCCACAAGGCGCCACCATGTCTGGCTACAGTCCCTACGGCGGAAGTACGACCAACCCCGACCAAGACTGACCCCCTCGTCCAGAAGCTGCCATCGCGCTACAGGCGGACAGCCGGCTAACCTTTGCCTAACCTCCGTTCTAGGGCCGCCGCCGCACTATGCCCTTCCCAACTACCCTGGATTCCCACCGGTTCAGGGAGCTGGAGGACCTCCGGGAATGATCCCGCCGCCAGGTCTAGGTATGCACCAGAGCAGCATACTCCCGCTTCTTCCACCTTGGGCGCACTTGCTGACCACTCCCAGGCCCACCGCCAGGCATGTCCTCCGCCCCAGGGATGGCGCCCCCTCCAGGCATGCCGCCGCCAAATAACAACCCCCAAGCTAATCGACCGAGCGGCCTGCCCGGTTCCTTTCAGCCGCCCGCGAACCTCCCAAACATCAACTTCAACGCGCCTGTCATTCGGCTCGGTGGACCCAACCTGCCCAACAAGCCCAACGTCCCGGCAGCCGGGGCGGGAGGCGGTCGCGGTTTCAGAGGTGAGCCAGACACGCCCGTGTCCGCTAGCGGCGACCACCGGGCCGGCGATGGCGACCGTGAGCCGCGCGACCGCGATAGGGGAGCCCGCGGCGGAGGCGGTCGCGAGACTCGTCACCCCTACGACCGGGGCCTCGAACAGGCGCGGGCCAACGTGCGCGAGAGCATGCAGAACCTCATATCCCCGACGGTCGAGGATAAGCTGCGCACCGTCTTTGTTCGGAACATTCCCGAGGGAGTTTGCGGTGAGGTTGGTCTCCAGAAGATTCTCAACTCGGTCGGCCGGCTCAAGCGCTGGGACTCGGCCAAGTCGCAGATGGAAGCCACCAAGGGCCACGTGTTTGGATTCGCCCAGTACGAGGATTTCGATGCGCTAGCCACTGCTGTTGAGCTTCTCCGAAATCTAAGGGTCCCCGCCAAAAAACAGGAACCAACCGACGGCGCGGGCGAGCCAGCCGGGGCCAAGGAGGACACGAAGGACCAGCCCATGGAGGATGTCAAGAAAGAGGCCAACGGCGAGCAGCAGAACGGGGACGACGCCGACAATGAGAAGGCCGCCGACGAGCAGCCCGCCGAAGAGGACCTGTACCCGGGCATCGACAAGGTGGTGCTGCGTGTGACGGTCGACGAAGCCACGATTAAATCCTTGGACCATCACCGCTCCACACTGGGAGATGACGGCCAGGCAAAGGCAAAGGCCAACCTCGAGTCGGCGCGCGCCAGGCTGAAGGAGGTGGTGCATGACCTGTTCAGGCCGAGCGTCAAGGCCGCCAAGGACAGCGACGGCGACGTGGCCATGAGGGATGCTGCCGCGTCGGGAGATGTCGAGGTCATTAGTATTCCGCTTGCCCAGGATGACGAGCTAGCAGAGATCCCACCCGAGATGCGTGAAGTCGTAGCTGCCGAGATTGCCGCCTTCCGCGAGCGTAGCAACCAGCGCGATCAAGAGCGCCTGAAGCGAGAGGAGGAACTGGAGGAGCAGGAGCGTCAGCGCAGCAACGGCGGCCGTGCCTTGCGTGTGGACTCGCCGCCCGCCGGGTCCAACCAGACACCTATCGGACCCCGCGTGCTCAACGCGCCATCTGGCCCACGGGGCCAGAACGGCACCAGCCGACGCGACGGGCGCGACGGCGTAGCCTTTGTCAACGGCGGTGCCATCAATGGTGACGGGCAGTACTGGAGAGACGATGACGACACAGACGCGAGCGACGAGGAGCTGCATCAACGTGAGCTCTCCAAGCAAAAAGCCGACGACGACAAGCTGTACAACGAGGCAGAGCGCAAGTGGGCCAACCGCGAAAGGGCCCGTCAGGCAGCGCTGGACCGTGAGCAGGAGCGCGACCGAGGCGAGGCGGAGAACGCGGCCAGGAGGAAAACGGAGCAGCTTGAGCGCGATCGTGGCTGGGACGACGAACGGGAGGCCAGTCGCAAGAGCCATCTGTACTATCGTGACAGAGGAGCGTGGGCTCGCAAGCGGGCGCAGGAGCTGGGAGAGGAGCGTACACGCGACGACGCGGACCGGCGTGCTGAGGCCGAGGAGCGGCGGCGCGAGGAGCGGCAGATGGAGCAAGCCAAGGGCATGGCCGACTCGTTCCTTGAGCAGCAGGAGCGCGAAATGCTTCCGGCTGGCGGGGAGACCGTGGCTGGTGGCGCCGACGGGCGACCGGAGAGCGGGGCGCCCGCGGCAGCACCACAGCGCTTCACCATCTCGCTGGGCGCAGCGGCCCAGAAGGCGCAGACGCAACGCGCGGCGCCAGCGCGGCGCACGTTTGCCGAGGTCGAGGGCCTGCTGGACGACGAGGAGGCGGACGGCAAGACGCGACGACAGCTGATCCCCATCAAGTTCGAGCCGCTGTCAGCAGGTCAGATCATGACGGAGGAGGAGGTCCAGAAGGCGGTCCGGTCGCTCGCGCAGGAGATCCCGACGGACAAGGACGGCCTCTGGGCGTGGGAGGTGCAGTGGGACCACATGGAGGAGTCCATCATCCAGGAGAAGCTGCGGCCGTTTGTGGAGAAGAAGGTTGTCGAGTATCTGGGCGTTCAGGAGGAGATCCTGGTCGAGGTAGTGATGGACCACCTGCGCAAGCACGGCAAGCCGGCGGAGCTGGTGGAGGAGCTGGAGGGCGCGCTGGACGAGGACGGCGAGGACCTGGTCAAGAAGCTCTGGCGCATGGTTATTTTCTTCACCGAGAGCGAGAAGCGTGGGTTGCCGGCGTAGAAGACGGCAGCGGCATGACTTGTCGGTTGCTTCCCGGTTGTTGACTTGATACTTGATACCAGCCTTGTTTGTGTGTATGAATAATATCAATCATGTTTTCAGGTTCGCTTGTCGGGTTTTGGTGTTTGAGACAGAAGGTCTCGGGAGTGAGTGCCAAGAGCAAGTGCCCGCCCAATTGGGCTATTAAAGACCCCTGTCACAGCCCGCTCGCTCCTCCCCCGCAAAGGGGTGTGGGCCGCAGCTTCCTTGCAGTTCCTGGGCCGAGTGAGGAAAGAGCCGAGGCTTGTGCAGGCCACGGCGGTTGAAAAGCGGCATCTTCAGAGTTCGGTCCTAACTTTCAACGCCGTCCAGCTGTATCAAACCGTGTGTTGATATCTTAGTATACCAACACCTTATAAATACATACCTCATACACACACTTCTCCAGGTGCACACCAGTCACCAGCCTGCACTCGCCAGACCGTAAGCCATGGTCTCCCCAAGCCTCCCCAAGCAGCTGTCGACGGCACCGCCCGAGGTCGCCAACGTCATGGTGTCGTTCCCAGACGCGCACGTCATGCTTGTGACGCTCAACCGGCCAAAGCAGCTCAACGCCATCGCTACACCCCAACACGCCGCCCTCGCCGGGCTCTGGCGCTGGTACGACGACGAGCCGTGGCTGCGGTGCGCGGTGCTGACGGGTTCGGGCCGCGCCTTTTGCGCCGGCGCCGACCTGCGCGAGTGGAACGGCAACCACCAGGCCACCAGCACCGACGACAAGGGGCAGCAGCCCCCGAGCGGCAGCCCCGTCGCGGCCGGCGGCTTCGGCGGCATGGCCAACCGCGCCGGCAAGAAGCCCATCGTGCTGGCGGTCAACGGGCTGGCCTTTGGCGGCGGCATGGAGATGGTGATCAACGCCGACATGGTCGTGGCGGCGCCCGACGCGCGCTTCGGCCTGCCCGAGGTCGGCAAGGGCGTCATCGCGCTGGCGGGCGCGCTCCCGCGGCTGACGCGCGTCGTGGGCCGCCAGCGCGCGGCCGAGATGGCGCTGCTGGGCCGCACGTCGTACTCGGCCGACCAGATGCGCGACTGGGGGCTCGTCAACTTTGTGGCCGCCGACGCGGTGGCGGAGGCGTTGCGCGTCGCGGCCGAGCTGGCGGCCAACTCGCCCGACGCCGTCATCGTCAGCCGCGAGGGCCTGCGGCTCGGCTGGGAGGGCGTGGGGCCCGAGCAGGCGGTCGAGATGCTGGCGCGGGGCATGTACGGCCGCATCGACGGCGGCGAGAACATGCAGGAGGGCGTGCGGAGCTTTGTGGAGAGGCGGAAGCCCGTGTGGAAGGACAGCAAGCTGTAGTTGGGGAGAGCATTCCTTGCGCTATCACTTGTAACCTCGAGGCACCGGTACGCCCCCAAGCTGGGCGGGATCATCATTCACTAGCTAATCCGTCAAGCATTTACTCGTATCAAAACAGAAAGAAAAAAAAAAGAAAAAAAGGAAAAAGGAAAAACTCTCCAACTCATACACCAGCCCACCCACCCCCTACTGCGCCCAGAAGCCATAATGAAACTCGTCATCCTTGTCGTCCTGCTTGCATTCCTGCTTGCGGTTGTACTCGTCCATGATGGTGACCCACTGGGCCGTCTCCTCTTCCAGCGTCGGGGCCGGGCCGGGCCCCTCCCTACCGCCGTCGATCTGGCGGACCGCGGCGGCCATGTAGTCGAGCTGGCGGCACACGGCGCGCACGTTGGCCAGGTAGCCGCGCAGCAGCCGCGTCGGGTCCCTGCTGGCGCCGGGGCCCAGCGCCCACCACGGCAGCCGCCCCGCGCCGTCCTCGAGCCCGCGCCCGCGCCGCTCGAGTATGTACTCGACGCGCCGCAGGCACTCGTGCGCCTGCGCCACCTCGAGGCCCACGTCCAGCCGCACCTCGTCGTGCCCGGCCAGGAACGCGGTCGGGGCCACGTCGCGGTCCGCGCCGAAGCGGAAGATGGGCATGCGGAGGCGCGCCAGGGCCGCGGTCCCCCGCACGTCGGCGGCCGCGTCGTAGGCCTCGGGCGACCACCACTCGTTGTTGGCGCCGGCGTACGAGGTTTCGAACTCGCGGAGCCGGGTCAGGTCCTCGATCTCGAGCATGAGGTTGAACAAGACGTTGGACGGCTGCGCGTGCGCCGGGTAGGGCATGAGGCCCGAGACGTCGACGCCCCAGTCGGGGAAGATGTACTGGAGCCTAGAGGGCATGTTGGGATATGTTGGCGCTGTTTATTACTATAGGGTTGGGTTGGGTTTCTGTCAGTCCCAGATACTCTCTTTCCGACTCCATCTGGTCGTTTCAAGGGGTTATTTATTCATCTCACCGAATGCTATGGACAAAGAATTTACGGACTGGCCGACGCCTCCATGGCTGGAGACTAATCCCTTGACAAAGAACGCTACCACTCACATGTCACTTTCCTCAACTCTCTTACTCGTCAGATTTCCGGAAGCAGGTGTGATATCTTTGTTCCAAGACGTGTTGAAAGAGTCCACATCAAGCCTTTCGCCCGTGGGTCTTGCGTCTACCATCCGTCCAGAGGGTCAAGTTAGCTCCTCCAGCTGGCGGCAGTTCGAAAACTTTTTGGCAATTACTGGTCACGGTGAGATCAAATACTGTTTGTCACTTCATGTCATGGTCATGGAATTCGAAAAGCAAAATGTTTATTGGCTTATGGGGATAACGTACCTGCTAGAACGCCTTTAATGCAAAACCGCGCCTGTAATATGGCAGGAGATATCAAAACAAAGAGGCCGCACCTCCCAATCTGCCAGGAGATATCAAAGCGAACAGATCTCCCTCATTGGGGGCGGAACAGCAAGCAGCTCGGGAACTGGCGCGGATCGAGCGCGCGCTGGGTCCGGTCGATGCGGCCGCGCACAAACGCGTACCGCCCCGTCTGCCTGTGCTCGACGGGGTAGTAGCCACCAGTGCCGGTGCCGCTGCCGCTCCGGTCGAGGCTCCGCAGCAGCAGTTCCTGCCTCAGCCAGGCCCTGACGAGCTCGTCCATCTCGTCGAGCGCCGCCTCGGCCTCGGCGACGAGCCCGACGACGCGCCCGACGGCCGGCCAGAGGAGCTCGTAGCTCTCCTGACGGCCGGCCTCGAGCTCGGCGAGCAGCGCGGGCACGCGCGCCGCGGCGCCGGTGAGCGCCGCCATCTTCTCGATGACGCGCGACGCCCGCCCGGGCTGCGAGTTGATGAAGACGGCGACGCCGGGCTCCTCGGCCCGCGCGACGACGGCGCCGGCCTTGGTCATGGCGTCCTGGATGAAGGAGCGGATGGTGTGGGGCACTGCGGGCTCCGCGGCCGCCGTCGTCGCCGCCGCCACGTCGGCCTTGGCCGAGTCTTCTTTGATAGTGGTGGTGGCGGCGGCGGCGGCGGCGGCGGCGGGGGTGGTGCCGGACTGCTGCGAGCCGGAGGGCATGCCGAGCCCAGCCGCCGGGGACGTGGAGTAGGCGGCGGGCGGTGCCGAGGGTCGGGCAGGCGCGGCGGCGGTGGCGGCGGCCTGCGGCGACGGCGACGGCGACAGCATGTGCTGCGGGGGCGAAGGGAAGGTGGGGGCGAGGTTCGGGAAGCGCGAGCCGCCGTAGCGGCTGTGGAAGTGCTGGTTGTAGCGGCGGTGTGGGGGCACACCGTTGCTGCCGCGGCTGGTGTAGTAGTATCCCGGGGCGTAGCCGCCGCTGGTTAGCCGGTCGGCGGGGGCCTGGGAGCACTCACCTGTGATATGGATGGGCGAGTAGACGGGTTGCTGGCGCTGGCCGGCAGCGGCGTAGAAGCCCGTGTTGTTCGCATGGTACATCGGGTTGTAGATGGCGGCCATAGTGACTGCTGCGATGGGTTCTTGGTTGGTGATCGGTGGTGAGAGACCGGTTGAATCCTTGAAACTGACCGAGACAGCCAAGATGTTGCGATGCGATGTGAGCTAGCTCCAAATGTCGTCGTTGAGGTGAGTGGAGGATAGCGGTGACGAGTTTTATGTCCATCTGGGGAGTTTCCGGAGGAGACTTCCATGGGGCCAGGGGAATATATACACCTCAGCAGTAAAATGTGTGACAAAGAGGCATCAGTTGTTGGTGAGGGCACTGTTGTCCGTTGTTCGCGCCCTTGACAATGGCTTGAGCAGAATGTGAAAGATGTGGACAAAGCATAGTTGGGGTGTCAAAAGGAGAGGAAACAATGAGTCGTCATGGGTATTGGTAAACGCTACAGATGCTAAAGAAACAAAGGCAAACGTGCAAGCAAGCACAAACAAAAACATCATATCCACAACTCGTCATCGACCCTGTTCTCGTCCAGGTACGCCTTGACCTGGTCGTAGTTCTTGCACACGTGTTTGGCGTCCCAGCCGTCGCTGCCCGTCTCGCCGGACGGGAAGGTGGTTGCCTCGCCCTCGAGCGCCGTGTCGCCGCAGCAGAGAATGTTTTGGCGCAGGTACTCGAAGCAGTGGTTGAGGTGCCAGCCGTGGCCCTCAGGCAGCTTGCTGTCGTCGCCGACGGCGTTTGCGGAAAAGGCGTTGACGATGGAGTGCAGGCAGTGCAGCTGGTGCGTCACCGACGATGTGAAGACGGTGGTGCCGTTGTAGTCGAGTAGCGGCCGCGGCAGGTTGTTGTACTGCGACGGCTCGTTGACCTTTACGTAGCCGAGGCCCCCTGGGAAAGACGCTATTAGTTGATGTGCTGGGAAGGGGTGTAGATGTGATTAGAACTTACTGGGGACCATGTCCAGCCACTTTTGCTGCACCGCGTCGGTAAAGAACTCGGACGCGTTCTCGGGCGCGAAGCCAAAGTCGGGAACAAATGTTTTTATCTGTTGCGCGACTGTGTTGGGTGATGATAAGTCAGCTCAAGTCCCAGCTTTTCCCACACTCCCACCAAAGGCCCAAAAAACCACTCACTCTTGGGCGCAAACCCCGTTATGTCCCCGTTGCCCTCGTACTCGCAGAAGCCGTAGCTCTTGGCCCGCCGCTCCATTAGCAGGCCGATGATGAAGAGCAGCAGGATCACGTCAATGATCCAGCGGCACCGCTCAAACGCCTCGACCGTGTCCCACCACGCCGTCCGCCGCCGCCCGCCCTCCTCGTCCTCGGTCCAGCGCCGCCGCTTCTCCGCGTGGCCCATCAGCGACTCGCCCGCGTTCGCCGCGCTGCTTGGGCCGTCGTGGCTGCCCGGCCGCTCCGAGGGGCTGGTGTCGCGGTACTTTTTGCTGGTGGCGCCGCTGCCGCCGGGGCTGCTGCTGGAGGGGCTCATTGTGTCTGTCGGATGCCCGTGTCGCTCGGTCGTGGATGTGGTTTTATCACTGGTTCGTCTCCTCCTTCTCCTGACCTAGCGCTTCAAGCAACTGTCGATGTAGCGATCTGATAACGAAAAAAAAAAAATCTGGGTCGACCATTCGGACCTAGCTCCTGGACGCGAACGAAAGCCCTCTTAAGGCAGAGACCCCCAAGTCGCCGTCAGACGGATGGGCTGATCGACCTGGTGGAGACACGATGGGGAGCCCCCTGCGCGTTTCAGCGGCTCGTGCTACCACCACTAACAAACCCTCCGTGCGGCCCGCAGCCTCTAGCTGGTAGAGCGCCTATCTGAATCGGACGGCGGTCCCGTCCAGGGGTCTCGAACCCCCACCGGCGCGGGGGTGAAACGTCTCAGGACCCCAAAAGCCGACTGATCGGAGGGGATAGCTTAGCCAAGCCCGACCGTTGCACCCGGGCGCCTTGGATCCATTTTAGCCTTGCCTCGAGGTGCAGGCAGGAGTGCCCAGGCAAACAAGTCCCCGATTTGCCCGCTCCGCGGCGCGTCGGAACCCTTCGCGGGCGCGTAGAGTGCGCGGCTGTGTAAGAGCAGCGTCACAATGACTTTGGGGCACGGTTCCAGCCCCTGCTGCATGCTTAATTGGAGACTGGGCCTCAATATGGGACATGGGGCGTGCGGCTCTTGCTGAGCGAACCTTCTTGACAAGGTCGATTCATTACTTCATTACCTGACCCTGTGTTAGTCCGAGACCTTGATGACCACCGACCCCATGCCCTCGGCCTTGCCCCAGTTCCGGTGCGCCTCCCGCACGTCTTCCAGACCCCAGACCTTCCTGATCGGTACCGTTATGTCGCCCGCCGCTACAAGCGCCAGCAGCTTCTCCAAATCGGCCGTGTACGTCTTGGAGTCGCGGCTGATGGCGTAGAAGCGCGTGCTGCGGTGCTCCCACAGCCTGAGGTTGAGGGCCTGCAACCTGGCCATCTCGGCGAGCTGCCTGGCCGTCTCGAGCTTGGCCGACTTGATGACCCGGTCCTTTCCCTCCCCTTGCATCGTCCGCAGGTTCAGCCCGTAGCCGACGAGGACCGAAGGTCGGGACGTGGCGAGGATGCCGTACGACGCGTCCCAGCTCTCGTAGCCGAGCGGGTCCAGCACCGAGTCGACGCCGCCCAGCTCGCGCATGACCGCCACCCATGCCTTGTCCGTGTATACAAAGGGGTGAGCGCCCTGCTCCCGCAGCCGCGCGTGGTTGCGCGCCGACGCCGTGCCGTAGACGGTGGCGCCCCGCTGCAGGCACAGCGTCGTGGCCGCCTGGCCGACGGCGCCGCTGAGCCCGTGCACGAAGACCTTGTGGCCCTGCTGCACTTTTGCGCAGTGCTCAACCAACCCCAGCGCGGTGCACCAGTTGAGCGGCAGCGCGGCTGCGACAGGCAGGTCAATGCCGGCGGGGACGTGAACAAGGTGGCGTTCGTCCACGTTGATGCGCTCGGCGTCGGCGCCGTAGACGGTGAGTGCTGCCACGACATCGCCCGATTTGAAGTCGCGGCGGGCCGACGGACCGGAGCTCAGGACGCGCCCGACCATGGCGTAGCCCGGGGTAAAGGGCGGCGAGGGCTGGGCGGGGTAGGTGCCACGGCCCATGTTGACCTCGGAGCCGGCGAACCCGGCGTAGAGCACGGCGACCTGGACCTCGCTTCGTTTCGGCGGTTGGAGGGGCTCAGAGGTGAGCATGATGCTTTTGTAGGGGTCTGGATCGAACTTGTGTATCATCGCCTTGCGCACGGTGGTGATCTCCTGGACAGGAGCATGGCGTGCTGTTTCTGGCAGCTGAGCCGACATGCTTGTGAATGTGCGCAGTGGCGCGGTTCTACTACTAAGCAATGCAATGCGGCGGATGAGTCTGACTGCTCGTGCCATTACCATTAAGATACAAGTCTGATGGGAGACAAGTTGTGAGGGCCACTATTAAATAGCAGCATCACCGGCCCTTGCTACAAGACACTGAACGCCATCTTGATATTCGCCACCCTGTGTCGCGATACTGTCAAACGACCTGACGAGCTGGAATGTGGCGCGCGCAGGGCCGTGGGGTGATTTGACAGCGCCCAGGCCGGCCAGTCTCTTCTGGTCGACGCCGACGGATGCGGGGGAATTCAGCTCCCTCTGGGCAACACGTGGCTCTGACTGTCGCCTTTGGACAGACGGACTTGGCGGCAGGATAGATGCCCCATGTCTCCGGAAACACAGCCACCCATCCCCCCACCTGACAGGCCATCTACCAGCGGAAAATATGGTCGCGTGTCACCCACCTGCCCGCGTGCCAATCCCTGCGCACACACGTAAATGTGAGGATGGGCAACCGCTCGTCGAAGACATAGCGGCGCCGTTTGAGCCTGGCCCACTGCTCCTCGGTGGTGCCCTCGACCGCGTTCTCGGCCTCGACCTCCTGTGACAGCCGCATGGCCGCCACGAGGGCGCGGCTGTCCAAAAAGCCGTCGCGCTGCGGGTACTCCTCGAGGAGCCGGATGGCGCGCTCGCGCACTGCGGGGTCGCGGCAGGCCAACGCCGTCCGGTACAGACCCAGCGTCGGCCCGTAGTCCATGGTGAAGTTGGCGCCCGCGCGCCCGCGCAACAGCAGCTCGCCCAGCCGACAGTACTCGCGGAAGTCTGGCGTCATGGCCCGCACCGCCGTCAGGTCCGCGAATCCGCGCGATCGAGCCCACATGCGCGAGAGGTGGTACTGGGCCTGGACGTTGGCCGCCTGGAGCATGGCTGATGTCGCGTCGGCCGATGGGACACCATCGCCGCTGGTGAGGGCCGCCTCGTACTCGTGAAGAATGCGCCGGTACAGCGGAGCCCAGGCCGCCCCGAACGAGCCGAGAAGGTCCATATTGAGCTGGTCCCAGTCTAGGTAGCTCTCGCCCTCGAGCGGCGTGGGGCTGTCGCTCGGGCTTTGTGCCGAGGGAGGATCGGGAGAAAACCGGGGGCCGGCCAGGAGGGGGTGACCAGCTTTGTCCAGAGGACCTTCTACAGGACCCTCATCAACTAGGTTGGCATTCTTAGGGATATACTTTTCCTCCCTGGTCGATAGGGGCACGCTGTGCATCTTGATCGTCTGCTCTATCTTGATGAGCCAGTGCGATATGGTGTCCCACTTGCGCCGCGCCTCTGCAATATTGGGAAAAGCGCGACGCGATATGTTGCGCATGACGTAGGCGGTCCTAGATATCGACTGTGGGTGCAGGTCCCTGAAGGATTCTTGGTCTTCCTCAAATTCGACCCGCAGCCCGGCCGCGATACACTGGCAGTCCAGTCGCTGAAACACTTGCAGCACCTCGTCCTGGAGTACATAGGGGTCGGGCGAGGTGCCAAGAACGGGAAGAGGCATCTCTTTCGGTGTTGCCTCGCCGTTCCCATTGCCGGCTGCAGTCTCTGCAGTCTCTGTGGTCTCTGCAGTCACCGCAGTCCCCGTAGCCTCTGCGGACTCTTCCGCCGCAGGAGGAGATGATGCGACCGACTGGGGCGGCGAGGGCAGCATGCCCATCTTGATCAGCTGTTTGACAAAGCACGACTCCACCCACGAGGCCACGACCCGGCCGCCATAGATCAAGTGTCTGAGTGCGGCCGGGCGGTTGCCGTGGATGGTCTCAAAGCACAGGAAGAGGATGCAGGAAAGGACAGTGGCGCGCAGGGCGTCCTCGGCATGGTGGCCGCCCTGCAACAGCATCTGCGTCTGGGCTGCCTGTGCTTGTTCCCGGGTTTGACCAAGGGTTTGGTTTGGGCCCTGGTTGGGGCGACGCTCACTGGCTAGACGCAGGGCCCGGCCGTAATAGACCACAGCGTCCCGGTAGTGGCGTGAGTGGGTAACGAGGGCGCCATTGCTGGCCTGGCTCCAGCATGGCGAGCCCACTCCGGTCCGGGGCGTGCTTCTGGACTGCGGCACCATGGCCATGGCCTGGGACAGGGCGCCAATGGCCATCGAGGCATACCGCAGGGTGGGATCGGTACGGCTTAGCTGGGGGATGGTGCGGGTCCACAGGTCGGAGCCGAACCAGCTGCCGTCCAGTATGTCGGACAGCTGCAGCCAGTGGTCAAAGTATATCTTATCTGGGTCCTGGGCATACATGCCCTGGTGTTCGGTTGGCTGCCAGACCACGACCGAGTGGTCTTTAGTGGCGGTGGATGCGGCTGCTACGTCCTTCTTGGACCGGCGCTGCTTGCCGCCTGTCGCGGCCCCTTCATTTCCAGCCGCTGGGGCCGCGAGGTGCTCGTAGCCCTCGCAGAAGCCCTGCCATTTGACGCAGCGGAGACAAGCCGGCTTGGTCTCGTCGCACTTGACATGCCTCCTCCTATGTGTGGGGACGTGATTGGACGGTTAGCACGGTGGATCGAGGCAGGCCGATAGATGTGGTAGGGGGCATGACGTCGATGGAAGCTGGGTTCGGGGAGGAGGATCGGCCGCATTCGGAAGCAACAATGCGGGAGCGAGGGGTGCGGCATGAGCTGGACTTGGCCCAGACTGGCGGGCAGACTTACTTGCCTAGACACCGTCGCGGGGCGCGGGGCATTCGTTGTCAGCGCCGAGGAAGCTCAGGGTCGTAGGGTCCCCCGTTGTCCCATCTCATATGGGCCATCTAGGGAGGGGAGGGCTTGATGGCACGGCATAGTGTGGATGGAGCCGCGGCAGTCTTGGACTCACATGTTTTGCAGCCGGTCCGGGCCTTTGGCTGGCTGGCCCTGGTGGCGCGCGGGCGCTCGTTCAGGGAAAAGGTCAGGATCTGGGGTTTCGCGGAGCTTGGGTTGGGTCAGCGGGCCCGTCGTGATCTCATGTTTTTGGCTGCGAGCTCGCGCGCGCACATATACGGGTTGCCAAAAGGGGACAAGGGAGGGAGGGGCCGGCCAGGGGCAAATCGGAAATCGCAGTCGCAAACCGCATGCGGTGGGTGGTGCCTGCAGCCTCGGCAACCGCACACGTAGCAGCAGCGCTTCAAAAGCAGCCCACCCCCAGCCCAAACGAAGACCCAAGACGATTCACTTTGCTTTGCGGTTCCATACCTTGCCGACGCCTTGGAAGACGCGCCGCCGCCGCCGCCGCCTCCTCCTCCTCCTCTGCCCCGGCCACCGGCCACCGGCGCTGCGGAGCTGGAGGCCCCGTCGCCTGGCATTGGGGGACTGGAGCGGTTGACGCAGGTCTCAAGAGTGGTGTGGCCGCGATGGTGCCGACAATATCCGCCTTTTTTTTTCGTCTTGTTTTCTCCTCGTCTGCCTCCTAGCTTGGTGCTCGCCGCCGTCAACCCTTGGGAGAAAAGAGGTGGGTGATTGGTGTGGGAGGTGGCACGAATTGGCAGAGCAGGCGGTGGAAGTGAGACGTCGGGCTAGGGAGCGCTGATGACTGAAGCACTAAAGCCGGGAGGATTTCCTTCTAGGCTGGGCTGCGTGTGTGCCTTCCTTGCTGGGTGCCTTCCTTGTCGGGCTTTTGCCGCCAGCTCATTGTTGCCCGTCCAGGAAGGAGCCAACCGCGGACATCTGCTGCCTCGGCGGGTCGGGGATTTTTTATTTATGGATCGACATTCAGGGGCAGCCATCACCTACTCGTACGGGCTAAAAGCGCTTGCAATTTAACGGTCCTCCGGAGTAAAGTGCGGCGGGGCAATTCGACGTTTTTCGGGGCAATTCGACGTTTTTTCTGTAACACTTTTCCCTACCCAAATTAGCTGGAAACCAATGTATCGCCGAAAAGGTATAAGCGCCCATTACTTTTTGCACGGTATACAAAGGAATTAAAAGTAAAAAGCGTGGATTAAATTGAGCAAAAATAAAGCTATTTAAGGCAAATCCGTACCGGTTAAATTAATAACCGGTTTGTAATTTAAATTTACTTTTTTTGTTATCCGTAATTTCCGGTAACGAAATTTCGTATTTTTCCGCAATATATTTGCTTGGAAAAAAACGGCTAAAGCAAAATTAAAACCGTACTTTACTTTTAATAATTTCGTATAACCTTTCGAACCGTACTTTCGTTTTAACAATTATTTGCTAAAGCGTATAAAAAATATTTGGTAAGTTACTAATCAAAA